AATTTGGCAATGTGGCAGAGAGGCCTATCAGACGAACAGGATCACCAGTCTGCTCCATCTTTCTGATTGTCCGGCTCACAATACTTTCCAGAACAGGTCCACGGTCATCATGCAAAAGATGGATTTCGTCGATAATAATGAGACGGACCAGATTGGTGTAACTCAAATCAGTAGCTTTTCTAGTGATGACGTCCCATTTTTCAGGTGTTGTCACAATGATTTGGGTATCGGCAATTTGTTGCTTCGTGAGCTGACGATCTCCTGTCAATTCAGAGACCTGAATGCCATATGGCTTTAATCTGGCACCGAAATTTCCTACTTGTTCTTGAACCAAAGCTTTCAGCGGCGCAATGTAAACAATTTTGAATGCGTCGAGGTTGATTTCTCCAGTCTCTGGATTGCGATTTTTGCCGATTTCTCGTAATATAGTCAACATACCGACGTTGGTCTTGCCACTTCCAGTGGGCGCGCAGATAAGCATATTACCATCGTCTTCGAAGGCTGTTGGAAAGCACTGAGATTGGATCTTGTTGAGCTTGACTGTGGACGAGAATGGAACTCGCGCCCATTCAGGCATCTCCGTAACTGGGATATCACGATCAGAAGGATCATTGCGCTTCTTGGGAGGCGGTACATGAATCTCTTCATATCCCTTGAAAGTTCGCTTTGTAGATCCCTCTGGCAACTTGACCTTGGGGTTTGTCATCAAATGATTGCCTTGATCAAAGACAAGATTTTCAAGATTAATGAGCTTTCGCGGTTGCAGTCCACCAACTAAACCATCTCTGTCTTTTTGCTCGTTCTTGGTGCCGCCATTAATGTATTCGGCTGGAACGTCAATATCCATTTTCATTTCTAGTTTCCGTTTCTTCGGTCCGTCTGCTGGCGCACCTCCGCGAAGCTCATCCAAGATCCATCGTAGTCCCTCGGATGCAATTTCACGTTCTACAACACCTCGAGCTTCAGCATCCTCAGCCCTGGCTAAACGAGTGAGCCAGACTACCTTATCCCGATTGGCGATCAATTTGTGTACGAGCTCATGATGCTCATAATCAAACAATTCAGCAAGATCGTTTTCGATTTCCCTGAGAGGTTTCTCATCCCCGCCTTCTTCCGCGGGAGCTCCAGAAAGTGTGTGGAGTACTTCCTGTGTTTTAAGCTGTTGTACATGCGCATCTGTGTAAACTGAGCCAATTTGTCGTTGCAGCCAATATGCATCAATTTCGCGTGCGGGTATGAAGTCTTTTTTGTCTTTAGATGAGTCAGCGTTCTGTGTTGAACCAGAGTCCATAATTATTGCTTCCTCTTCGGGCAGTTCCTGGGATTCTTCATCTCTATCCACTCCAGCGCCACCAGCCTTGGCGACTTCCTCGTCACCAGGGCGGTCTTGAGCGTCATCCTCATCTTCAGACGACTCTTCTCGAATTTCATTAAGCACCTCGTCACCCTCCTCGTCGGAATTATCGTCGAACACAACAGCTACTCCTTGGCGATCATCTATTTCAGCGCCGTTTTCGCCGCCGTTATCTCCATCTGCCATCTCTTCGTCTTCATCCTGCGCGTCATAATCCGTGATCTTTTTTCCCAAGTTTACAAGCTCGTTGAACTGCTTTGGATTCATACTTGCGCCTAGCAGGTCGTCGATCTCCTTTTTCTTGTCAAAATCTTTCATATCATCATCCTTCAAGTATTCCAGCACGGCGTCGGTGGCGCTTCGAACAACTTCGTGAGGAACATCTCCGAGATTATTAGCGACTGTAGTTAAAATGAGGTCGTAAGTTGCTCGCGTTGCCGAAGTCCTAGGTCTATATCGAATACCCTCGACCAAGGCATCTGCAGCTGATAGAATTCCAGTCCCTCGCAGTTGTGCTGGCTCTCCACGCTTGCGTTTGCGCTGTTCTCGTTCTAAAACATCTTCGCCCTCGCGGTAACCTCCTCTCTCAACATCTGGAAGGCCTGAAGCTTTCTTTTTCTGTTTCGGCGCGTCCTCGCGGGCATTTCTCGAACCCATATCCCGAATACTGATTTGCCCCGCCAGTGATTCTGGATCTCCTGTCACCTCATCGTTACGGCGAGTAACGAATCGACGGTCCGCCTGGAGAACCAGATTGGACATCGCCGCATACTTGTACTGCGATACATCGCGCTGTTGGTCCGTCATTGTTTATGGGTCGTCAATTTTACGGTGTGAGAAAGGCTGAAGCCTATATGGCGGGTATTGAGAAGAAATCGAAAGAAGATGGCTGGAAGGAAGGTTTCAAGTCATCTGAAGTATTTCCTTTAAAACATGGATTATGAAAGTTATCTCCAATATACTGATGAATCAAAGAAGGTATGCAAAGAAATTTAACAGACGCCACAATAGAGGGTATTTTGATATCAGTTTACTGGAAGAGGTCTTTCAGTTCCCAAAATTCGCAAAATTAAGGTTTAACGCGAGGCCACTAAATTTACTTTTGATAGGCGCTAGTGTGTCTGCCGCCTCGTGCCTACCTAGGTAGGTATTTTTTAGGAAAAAAGATTAGCACACTTTCCAAGATATAGGTCCTAGTTATAAACTTTCAACTGATTTATAAAATAAAAATTGGGTAATGTCTTGAAAATGTACAAACTGAAATGAAATGTTATGTGAAATATCGTGTTGATAAGTTGACAGTTGAGACGACTATATATTAAATTGTTGTTGGTCCGATTTGCATGCCACGAACCAAGCGGAGACGTATGCCACTACACGTCAACAGGATCATTCAATAATGAAATAAAGTAAATATAACTTTGCCTGGAGCAACGCGGCCTATACATTCTCACACCAGCACACCAGGACATCAGGAGTCAGGTATTCCGAAATTCATATCAATATTTATGTTTTGTCCAAAATGGATGATTTGGCAACGCTTCCCGAGGGTATCAGACAAATACATCATACCTTGAGCCCTTATATAAAGCAAAGACAGCATGCTCTACATGTTCGGCATGTCCTCGCTGCTCACTTAAATTCCAATGTGAACTCTGGAGATAGCTTCTTGACGCCTGCAACTCTGTCTCTTGCAGAACCCACCTCTGCAGTGACACAAGGATTAGGCTTCCCTGGCGTCCAGCATGACTATCTACGCAGCCTTCAAGCTAATTTGAAGGCTCAAAGAGACTTTGCAGCGATCAGTTCACAGCGTGATGAACCAGACTCTCACAGCGAGATTCAAGCAAAGACTCATGATAAAGTTACATCCAAGGAGATATCTGTACATGCTTTCTTAGATCTAGAAAAGCAACGTCAGAGGAAGGAACGTTTTCGCATCATTCAAGATGTCGTGGATCAACTTGCACAGAAGCCTGCAGCGACACAAGATTATCTCGACTTGAAGAGCGTGGACGTGTTGAAAAATATTGGTTCCTTGCCGCCAGTACCACCGAGTGTTATGGCACCGATAGAACATCTTCAAGATTCTGAGAGAACTGATCTGAAGTCGCTCGTCGATCGATTAGAGAAGTCAGTTCTACGTGCACAACTTCTTCTCAAAAAAGAACAAAAATTGTTGGCAAAAGTCAGAACTGATGCTAGCACACCGAAAGACGAGCAAGAACAGGGTAATCGACAAAAAGCACTGGAAACAACTCGTAATGAATTGATCAGCTGGATTGAGATGGAATTAGGAAAGGCTGGAGATTCTCCAGCAGCATCAGAGGGACAAAATCCAAGCATGCCTGAGAATATTGGGAAGGAATACATTGAATCTCAGCTTGCATCCATAAAGCAAATTTATGGACGATACCTTGAAATTAGGAAAAGGTTAATTGTCGCTGCTACTGAAAATCTCACTACATCACTTCCCATAAAAGTCGGAACAGAGGATCCCTCTGACATTCTCCTAGATGAGCCTACGAATGATACCTCTGACACCAGAAACGCGTCGACATTCTCTTACCTAGAAGATCTGGTTCTCATTTCAAACGAACAGAAATCTACCATACAGCAAAGATCTTATCTCACTAGCAGTCTCGCAAAACAAGGCAAAGAAGCCAGTAAAGATCTTGACAGGCTAGTCGACGAAAGCCATCTCCTGCCCACCTATCCTATGCAGACTGTCAACAATCCTCAACGAAAAAGACTAGGGGAGCCGATTTCGTTTGACCAGGAAATCTCGAATAGCGATAAGCCAACTTTGTCCAGCCGAGCCAAAGCTTGGGTCTTTGCAGCTGAATCGAGTAGCATCGTGACCAAGGAGGCAGTTCTGGAAAGATTGGAAGATGGGGAATCTGCTCTTGCAGGGGCCTATCAGACTCTCAACGATCTTCAGCGTCTTTTGGGGTGTCTCCCCGAGGAACAAGGCGCAGAAGGAGATGCAGGCAGACAAAAGTTGGGAATCTCGAACATCGGGGGAGTTTGGTCTACTCTGGATGGCAATCTTGGAGTTATAAGGACAGACGATTTGACGTCGGATTGATCACAATCATAGGAGGGTCTCGTGGGTTGCAGTTTTTAGGATTCAAACGACAATGGCCACGTGGATACTTTCAGACTTGATTAAGCAACATTATTTCAAGTCAATGTAGATGGTTTGTTAAATTTGAGTGTGTATATTGTGGGTTCAATTGAGGTCTATGTATCACCGAACAGAATCCGCTCGCAGGTTTAGCTGGCAGAACTATTCTTCTGGCTCGATTTGCTAAGGCAAAATATTTCTGTTAGGTGCAGGTACTAGATAGCCATTGTTGGAGCTAAATCTGGAATTAGGTTTCACAGTACCATACAATATGATTAAAATGAACACTTCCTTTCATACCAATGTTTTTCGAATCAAAATGACAGACTATAGAATCATTATATATATATATAATGCATGTGATGAGACAACCTAATATTTCTATTGCAGCCTCGCGCTAAAAATGTCGCGTAGAGTGGAATTTCACGACGCGTCTCCCTTGAACACACTTTCCATCATCTGAAGTCCAAACTTTCTTGCGACTTGTGAATCTCAGAAAACCTCACGATTTTCTCCAACATGGCTAGCTTCTTTGATATCAAAGCTCGCAAGGCAGAAGCTGCTTCAAATGGCACCACAAATGCAAAAGAAGAAGCCAAGAAAAATAATCGCATGCAACCATGGGTTGAAAAATAGTCAGTCTTTTGTTCCGAGTGCGATCTCTATCTTCAATAACTTTACTGATAGATTTCGTAGTCGACCCAAAGGCCTAGGAGATGTTACGGCGCAAGATCATACCATCACTGTTCTGCAACGCACACTCCAATCCTCCAATGTTAGCACCTTCCTTTCCCCCTCCTCAAACCAGCTCTAACATCTCCTCTCCCAGCTTCCACATATGCTCTTCTACGGCCCTCCAGGCACAGGTAAAACATCGACGGTGCTCGCACTCGCCAAAGAACTCTACGGTCCCGAACTCATGAAATCCCGCGTTCTTGAACTCAACGCTTCCGACGAACGAGGTATATCTATTGTCCGCGAAAAAGTGAAAGATTTCGCTCGCATGCAACTTTCCAATCCCTCGCCCGCCTATCGTCAGAAATATCCGTGTCCCCCTTACAAGATTATTATATTGGATGAGGCGGATAGTATGACGCAAGATGCGCAAAGTGCGTTGAGAAGAACGATGGAGACGTACAGTAGGATTACGAGATTCTGTTTGATTTGCAATTATGTGACGAGGATTATTGATCCCTTGGCAAGTAGATGTAGCAAGTTTCGATTTAAGAGCTTGGATAAGGGGAATGCGGTGGTTAGAGTGAGGGAGATTGCGGATAAGGAAGGTGTCAGGTTGGAGGAGGGGCGGTGGAAGCGCTGATCAAGTGCAGCGAGGGAGATCTGAGAAAAGCGATTACATATTTGCAGAGTGCGGCGAGGTTGGTGGGAGCGGTTAGTCCGGAGGGCGAAGAGAGGGGCAATGCAGATAAAATGGATGTGGATGAAAAGATGGTTACTGTGAGCAGCGTGGAAGATATCGCAGGAGTTATACCAGACAACACGATTGAGAAATTGGTCAAGGCTATGCAGCCGAGATCGAGAGGAGTGGTATATGAAGCTGTATCCAAAGTAATCGTTGATATGGTGGCAGATGGGTGGAGTGGCACACAGGTCGTCTCACAGGTATGACTTTTCCCATCCTTCACAAAATGTAATAAAAGCTAACACACGCAACAGCTGTACCAAACCATCATCAACTCCGAATTGATCGCCGACTCCCACAAGAACAAAATCGTAGCTCTCTTTTCAGAAGCAGACAAACGACTCGTGGATGGTGCAGACGAACATCTTACTATCCTCGACCTGTCTTTAAGGATATCCAACATTCTCGGCAGTTCTTGATCGGTGTTTGACATGATATCATAGTTCCGAAAGATAGTTTGGGGTGGTATATGTATAGCAAAGGTATTGGCGTTAAGGTTACCATGAAAAGCAGACACGGAAACGATATTAGGAAAAGCGTATGTAGCTATAGTATGTATCATGACCTACCTCTTCATAGTTTAGATTAATACGAATAGATGAAGATTAATATGAGCCTGTGATGATAACCATTGTTGTTATCGAGGAAAGAGAGACTCTGCAATGTAGTTAGTTGCTCCATGTTATCTCCGACTTTTGTTGCATATTTGTGTCTTAAGGAACTTTTGCATTCTTGCTTCAAGGTTCAAGTTTGCAACACCCTTGTCTCTTAAAAACGATTTCTTGGACATATGCAAGTTTTGAGGAGAGTGTTGCTTTGTTTAAATGTAAATATCAGAAGTAAATAGTGACGGTGCACCTCGGTACTATATAGGTGTGACCGGACGGACCATATGAGGTGAATCAAAGTGACTTGTGTCAAACGGGATAGCTAGAGTTGAGGCCGGAGGGAACATGATGGATGGTTCTTGAGCGGATCATGATTGCAATTTGAGATTTTGTTTGGACTACTACTGTGTTCAAATGGCTTATCATATCACAGAAGTCATATCTAAGCAAAGCTTCAAAAGAATGGTATGCATTAATTACATAGTTAAACAAGTGAACTAATCGTAAAAGAATATGGAAGTCCATCCAACCCGGCCATCCAGCACCAAAGAAGAAATGCAAATGTACCAACCAATAATCGAGAACCCACAAAAGAGACGTCTATGTTCATGCCCATCATGTGCTCATGTGCTAATATCTTCATCCTCGTTGCTCACCCTTCCCCTCGCCCATTATCAATTTAACTACTCCATCAATTCAAAGTCCGCAGCTCCTTTGACCAACTTCTTCAACCTCTTCTCGATGATCTCTCTTCCATCGAGCGTCTTCCACACCTCCGAAGGAGCGCCTTTGACCACATCCCAGCTTTTCAAGTTGTCCGTCAAGTGACTAAGATCTTCTTGTTTCCTCTCCCACTCATTACTTCTCCTAACCTCAATGCCGGAACTAATCAGTACAAGTGGTGTACTTGCATACTGTATATTCCTTGCACTACTAACCTCATTCTTCGTCAATGAATTAGCGACCAGAGATTCTTGAAGTTTGGCCTTGAGGAACTTTCCACCTTGATAAGCTGAACGTCCAAATACTCGATCTTCACGGGTGCGGCCGTTGAAAATGGCGCCAAATGTACGATCCAGACCGAGAGGTGAGAGAATGCCACGACCCCAGAGAACAAAGCCTCTCTGTGGTGTACCAAGACGGTAGAGAAGATCTTCGTGGAGAGGGTCGATGAGAAGAAGACCTGCAATTTCACGAGCGTGTCGGGAGGAGAATATACGACTATAGATGCTGCCTACTCCTGCACTAGCGAGAATCCAGGGGCCTTCTTCGCCTGCGCGAGCTAGAGCTTCTGAAAGTGCGTCCGCTGCCATGCCTGCTGAAAACGGAGATGGCGCATTGTCAGACCATGCGATTCCAGGTCGATCAGAATAACAATATCGGCTGATGCTTCCATTGACAAAAGCATTTGTTGCAATCTGAAGCATGCTATGCTCGAACGGTCCGTCGCCAGCTTCAAATAAAACTGTTGGGTTCTTCTTGCCCTTTGCATCCGTAAGATTACCTTCGCAATAGACATGTATTTGGTATTTGTCACCATCGACGTAATATCGCTCTCCTGGTGGCGCAAGGGAGGCATCGCGAGATCTCAAGATGAGTGTAGCCGATAAGAGAATGGTGACAATTGCCAAAACTACAAGAATGATTGTAGATATTAACACGGAACACCATTCTCTGAGCGTTCGGCGAGTCTCTGCTCGGCCAGTTAAGCGCTCCTCCTCTTCTATTTTGCCAGCCGCTACGACTCGATCTGTAACAATCGTCCATATAGCTATGAGCAGGGCCCAGACAACACTAGCAATTCCAACCCATCCCTCCTCTACACGAAGACGTGGGACAGCGACAATCATTATCATGTCGACCAATAGAATCACAGCGACGACAAGACATGTTACTTGTGCGGCCTTGGAAGGCGTCGAAAAGAAGAGAAGCACAATAAGGAGCAGGCCGAGGGTCAAAGTAGTATATGAGAAGTCGAAGAAACCAGAGCCTCTTGAGTGCATGCCTGGTGGGGAAACGAAGATTGATACCAGCAGCAGCACCCACCACAGAAATGTGATGATGGCAAACAAAACTGTGAAGTATCGCAAAAATCGTACGCTCCATAGATTATATGGAGATACCTGTATAAATAACTTATTAGCATATTACAATGAATTTCCCATCTGGAGATTGCAACCCTGGTGGCGGATTAAACAGAAGGGGGCGAGAAGCTTACAGCTGGATCATCGGGACTCAAGTAACCATCACGGCTTGGTGGAAGTAGACGAGTACGCTCGTCAGCCTCATGAGAATAATGAGGTTGAGGATGTACTTGGTGAGAAGCTACAGGTTCATTTGAATCTCCATTTTGAGAATGGGGACGAGAATGCACACTTCCAGAAGCTGAAAGATGTTCGCTATCCTTCTTGGAACCCCATAAGGAGGAAACCATGATAACTATGTTGAGGAATTCCTGATTGTGGAGAGACTTCTGCGACAACAATCACGACAAGCTATATCGTGAGCAAAGAGATGAAAGGACTGATATGAAATAATCAGAGATCAAAATCTCCTGAGGAAAAGGATGAAAGGAAAATAGATTTAAAAAGGAGATCAATCGTCACCAAGAAATACTAGGTAGGCAGAGAACCTGGGCACCGAGAATGTCAAGAGTTAAGACAATGTTAGAAATGAACTAAAGCTCAAGATCAAGATCAAGCAAGGAAAGAAGATCGTTTTGTTGTTGATCTAAGCCCAATGGAACTGGCGTCGTGCGCGTTGATGAAGCTAGGTAGCTTTTGTGTGTGGTAGATACCGGTATTTGTATGTGTATGTGGATTGTGATTATTTACCTACCACCAGCATTCTTCTGCTGCTGCTGCTGCTGCTGCTTCTTGACCTTGTTCTTGTTCCTCGTCCCGTCCGTGGTATTGGTTTTAGATTTTGAGGCTTGATCAATGGATCATTGATGGATAGATGGATACCCAGCACATATGAAGGAGGCGAAGGTCGATGAATCAGGTTGGTTGTTTTGGGGAGAAGACCGAGGGAATTGAAGGGGATGATGTCATTTTTCTTTGTGCCATAGCTCAGTACCTAGTAATAACAAGTACATACCTCGAGCATACCTGCTAAAATAAGGTTGGGCGGCGGTACACATACAATGCATACATAATAAATCATGCTTTTTGGTGCTACTAACCTCAACCAATTGCCTTCCTTTCCATCTTCAGGAATGTGTTCAGACGATGACATGCTCGAGCGCATCCTCGCCGTATCGATATTACTAAGCAATGCTCTTATCTTATCTACACATCGAATGGCTGGTGCTTTCTGTGGGTGTGGCTGACGACATCATGGCTTTTACCTATCTTCTCTTTTCTCAACCCCTCTGGAGCTTCATACACGAATTTGAGATTTCTTTAATTTGATTTTCAATTGACAGTTTAGACTGAGATTCGTTCCCTCACAAATGATTTTCACCACCCAATACAAATAATTTTCGCAGAGTTGTGCTCTGCAAATAAACTTCAAGATGAGCGATTTACAAAGGTCCTTTGTTAAGCCCAAGCTACCAAGATTTGCTCCGCCAGAATTCAATGAGGCCGACGAAGAAGAAGAAGAGATTGATATGCCTGGTGAACTACCCGATCTGCCAATAGATGACGATTCTTCCTCGGCGTCTTCAGCTTCATCTACTGGCACCATCATACCATCCTCAAATCAGAACTTATTTGCTCGGCCGCAAGGGTTTGTTCTTGCTTATTGCTCATTGTTTGTGCCGGGCTGATACATTCCATACCATCAGTGTTCCCAATAAACGAACGATGGACCAGATACCGTGGACGACTTATTTTGAACGAGAACTGTTTCTCGAACGCAAGTTGGAAGCAGAGACCATAAAGCATCATGCATATCTTACATCTCCTGTTGGGTCAGCACCTTTATTTATTACACATCATGGAGCAGGATCATCCGGCCTCTCATTTGCTGTTTTGACGTCGGAGATTCGAAAGAAGCTACCTTCTGCCGGTGTACTTTCTCTTGATGCTCGAGGTCATGGTTCTACGGATATCTCTCCAGAGGCAGAACGTCTCGATCTTAGTCTAGAAACCTTGAGTTCAGATCTGTTATATGTCATTGAAGCCACAAAAGACAAAATGAGATGGAAGCAACTTCCGCCTCTTGTACTTGTTGGTCACTCTCTTGGCGGTGCAGTTGTTACAGATGTTGCCAAAGGCGGAAAACTAGGCAACTCGGTTCTTGGATACGCAGTTCTTGATGTAGTTGAGGGCTCTGCTATGGATGCTCTACAAAGTATGCAAACTTACTTATCGACTCGTCCACTAGGCTTTCATTCACTGCAATCTGGCATTGAGTGGCACATGAGGTCGAGAACAATACGCAATTCGTTATCAGCGCGGACGAGTGTACCTGGGCTACTGAAGCACAACGAAGAAGCCAGTGGATCACGATCGTGGACATGGCGCACAAATTTGGGAGCCACTCAACCATTTTGGGAAGGTTGGTTTGTTGGACTTAGCAAAAAGTTTCTTGAGGCCAGAGGTGGAAAGCTATTACTGCTTGCAGGGACAGATAGACTTGATAAGGAGTTAACAATTGGACAAATGCAAGGTAAGAACCATCTTTCTATGTGAAGTCTGAAAAGAGCAGGCTTAAATTGACAATTAATAGGGAAGTATGCGCTACAAGTCTTCCCCGAGGCCGGCCATTTTGTTCACGAAGACCTTCCTGAGAAGACAGCCATGGTGTTAGTAGATTTCTATTCAAGAAACGACCGAAGTGCATTGATATTACCACCAAAAGTGTCAGATCTTATTAAGGCTGGTAAAAGAGTGTAAACTCAGCTAGATATTTTGACCGTTTACAGTAAAGGAGTTTCGAGAATTGTGAATGCCATATTATTACTTCCTTAAAGTCCCTTGAGGAATCAACGGCCGACATTGAACATAACCTCTCGGGATATCGAAAAATCTTGGGTTCTTTCAGTGGCCTGTGTTCTGAAGCTTGGGGAGCACAGCAGGACGCTTCATGCGTGCACAGCGCATTGGAGATGGGAAAGTGGAATTGCGGCTGATAGATTGTGGGTCTCAGCATCATCCCACCATTACTTTCTATCGAATCAGATATCCTGGTGAGCCTAGGAGCCTAGGTAGCTTATTACTCGTGCCGAAATATTCAATACTTCCAAGAGAGAGCAGCATCAAATTACTTCTCCTAGAACGTCACATTAGCCGCCCCTCAGGGGTTTGACCGTACAAGGTAACCAATAGATTTATTTCAGGGACGTAAATTTTAATTTTCAACCGTTTAAAAACGGAATCATGGGCTGCTAGGCATCCAAATCATCTTTTGTGGGGGCTAAATAGCATTACTTTAATCCATTTCTCCGCCTGATCTTCCTCAGCTTTTTTGTGACATATTCAATAGTCTTTCCATCATTCTATTTCAGGTGAAAAACGGTCAAAATAAAGCTTTTATTTCATTGGGTAAACAAATTAGCATCACTGTTTTCCATATCTACAGAATGCACTTCTCAAACTCACTTCTCGTCGCTGGGCTCATTGCCTTTGCCTCAGCATCTCCAGCTCCAGCTCCAGAGCCAACGACGCCATCTGCATCGTATGTTTGACTTGTCTATTTTACCTAAATCTCCTCCCAGACTTTGAGATTTCATTCCCTTTCAATTCCCGTAATATTTTCTTTTTGTGCATGTCAACTGCACGTCTACTAACACTCCCCCAAGTCAAACCCAAGCTCTAGTCGACGACCTCCAATCATACATCCTCGACCTTGCAACTCAACCCATAGTTTCCAGCCTTGCCACCGACACCGCTGCTCTCAATTCTCTCGAATCGTTGCAAGCGTCCCTCCAATCCGATGTTATGAACGGCGAAACCCCAAACACATCCGTGTTGACTGCTTTGCCTTCTCCTCTCGCTAGCTTCATCGGCTCCATTTACACGGCCGAACTGAGCATCTTCAGCAAAGATGGTTTTGGCGATTTAATAGCAAGCGCAACTGCTACTGAAGCTGCATCTGCATCGGCTACCGGCGCGTCACAGACGGCAAGTGGAACCCAGAAGACTTCGACGACTGGGTCGGCGTCGGCGACGGCGGGATCAGCAAGTGCAAGCTCGAGTGCTCCGGTCACTAATGAGACGGGTGCTGCTGGTGCATTGGGTGTTGACATGTTGAAGATCTGTGGAGGTTTGGCGGTTGGTATTGTGGGTGCTGTGATGGCTCTGTAATGAAATTCGTTAGGTATATCCTATGATATATATCATTCATATCATTTTAAGATTATTTTAGGTTTCAGGGGCATGATTGCTTCTCTTGATGACAATTAATAAAATCAATAATTTCAAAGCTTTCTCTACGTGCAATCTTGATGCTGGGGAATATGACGGCTACTTTTGAGAGCGAGTGAGTTTGTATCCGTCTTGGCCATTGGCCATATGTAACAAACCTTAAGTATCGGAAAAGACATGTTGATGAATTGTTCTGATAACTTGCCCCTTGCCCAGGTAGTACTGTCTCTAACTCTCGGGTGAGATATATGCGCGAATCATATGACGTTTGATATCTTTGCATGTACTAATAGTGGGCTCTAAGCAGGCAGTTAGTTCCTACTCGGCGAAAGCGATTGTCCCCGGAAAGTGGTTGTTCTTAGAAGGGGTTTCAAACAGAAAATGTATGAATTTACTAGTTTTGGTGAAAAATCCTATGGGGACAATTGCTTTTCGGGGACAACTGTTTTCCTCGATTAGGAATTAGTCGACCACTTAGAGAGCCGACCATTAGAGCCGAAAGCTTGTCGGTGGTGGTTACGAAAGGGACGACCGTTGAGCCGTACGAGCACGTAGTAGAGTGAACGGAAGGCCTCTCGTGCGGTTGGTCCGGATAATGGTTCGAGTGTTGGCATTCAGAAGAAAAAATTGAGGATTAGGCTACACCAAGACGGGTGAATTGGGGATTGAAAAAAAGCTAGTGTAAGGTAACTATCTGGAAATAGAGGCTTCAGACGAAGCCTTAGTGGAAAGATGATTTATTGTCGCGAGAGAAACGTAGTATCATATTGGATTCAAGGCGCTTATACGTCATTGATGAATTTAGCATACTGTGTCCAGAATGACGCAAAAGCCGAAGTTGATTGCCGTTATGAGTTGCCTAGCACTCTGGCATTGATTGTCCCTGTAATTGTGGTATTCTGAGCACTTTGACCGAGTTTCTGACCTTGGTTTGCAAAATGCCGATTCAAACCACCTTTGTCCTCTGAGGTTGTGTGACAAATTTTGCGGTCGATATGCGCTGGCCAGGTCTACCGACGGACAACCTCCGGCCTGCAAGGTTCTGTCAATAATATTGTTTTCTGATTTCATTTTTTCGAAGATAGGGACATGTACTGGTGAGCATGAGGGATACAGGCCTAATTTGCGATCAATGGCATGTCTTAACTTGGAGCAATGAGGACAGAAGAGTAGTCTGTCCAGATCGTATGACGAGATCGTTGCGAAAAGCACTCTGCCTAGACCGTGGCAATTTGTTGGATTAATACCGGCTCTTGTAACTTCGTAGTCTTGCTTGTATATAGGAACACCGCGGTACACAAGGTGGAATCTATACCACGACACGATACGGAGTCTAGACGGTCATCTCAAGCACCTCATTTTGTATTTCAACCCCATCATCTTAAAAATATTAAAATGTCTTCCAGATCTCCCTCTCGAAGAAATCCCACCGGCAACGAAGGAGGAAAACGCAAACACAGAGAATCCAGTAGCGTTTCATCTGGCAATAGCAATATCAATGGCAAGAAGAAAGAACGTGCCAAGCCTCCCAAAGATCGTGCAAGAACTGAAGCAGGCCCCTCTTCAACAAAACGTTCGGACTCTCAAGATTCAAGGAAAAGCTCAGAGAAATCCCAGTGGTCTTCAGATGGCGAGCTTCCGGAAGGTGTTACGAGCGCGACAGATCTAGCCCTCCACCGGAACCGAGGAAATCGCCAGGCATCAAATGATAGTCCACCGCCTCCACGCTCCCCACCTAAACTTCAAAGAGAAAAGTCTCTAGACTCTTTTCCTTCTTTGAGTGAGACGCAAAGCGAGAAGATTGAATCAGATATTAAGCGTATACGAATGAAGAGAGATTGGCTGGACCTCAATAGCTCAGCGGACAGAGAAGCAAAGCGTCGATACGACCGCCAAATTGAAGAATCTGAAGAACGATTGAGGCAATTAAGGAGAGGTTGATATTCAAGATTTCAGAGGCAATGGGATCTTCATTGATATAAGAGTTATCGAAGACTTGTTGGGAAAAGCAGAGGGTTCGAATGATACATTTGGCGTTGTTGCGGGAGGTTGGTATCGTAAGGATGGAGTTCAGGATACCTATACATTTTTCAAAGGCTGTAAAGGAAACACTAACTACTTTCACGAATAGACGATCGAGTGAAATCTAAATATGACACGTATCAGCTACCCGAGTATCCTACTCCTTCTTGCCATCAAAAATCTTGAGGTATTGTAGACGTGATATTATACCACTTAGCATCGTATGACATGCTACTAAACGTTACCTATATTTACCATACTTGAATGTAAAGCGAGGAAAAACTCGACTAAAGAGCATCCTCTACCGGTATTGAGCTTTCCGATAGACAAGTGGCGCGGCAACAGTTACAAGGTAGAACTGCTACTATTCGACGGGAGATCTGAAAAAAATTGTTGAAAACTCGGGTCTGTGGGTGTACTTGTTGCTAGATAAATGAAAGCGCACGGGAACACATGTCGATCTCGTGAAACAGCTCGCCATGTTCTTCCAACAAGTTCTACACTGATGCGGTTTGTTACTGAACAAAATTGCGAGAACTCTATTTCCAATGTCAAGAACTTGGCAGCTATACCGGTTCTGAAGAATCGACCATGTTGACACCCTGACTATTCTTGTTCCATTTCAGCAAGCATCCATGTCGCAGGCATCATCTCTCTTTCATTGGTGCATGTAGTCGAATTTGGAAGTATCGGCGGTGAGGATAGACTGCTCGTTCTTGGTCTGTTGCAACATTTTGGAACGATAGTGAAGAAAGACTAGAAGAAGTAGACAAAGCAGATAATGCTAGGACAGGTATTTTCCTCGATCAAACCGAGATCGACAACCTCAGTGCCCGCAAACTGGCGCTCATTGCGCTCAACCTTATATTGGTTGTCGTTTCATCTTTCGACTCAAGCTTGTCTCTTCAAAAGTCGCAAATCGTGCCACATCGAGTTGTCATAGCATTTCCAATTCTTCAATTCCATAGATAAGAAGGAGAGAAAGAGAAGAATCCTGGGCACACGGAACCAACAAATTGCATCAACAAAGCCTAGAATTCATCAGCAAAACATACCCTTGTTCCCCCCTCACTCAAAATGTCACCCAAGATCGTTTTTAATTTGGATTTCATGGCAAAAACAAGGAGGATCCCACAGGTCATTTATTGGCCAGGAAAAGGATTCAAATTTCCCCGCGATTTATGCGTTTCAGTGTTTGTTATGAGATAACTCGACCCGAACATGAAGTCATCGTGATTTTCTTCTTGAATGATTAGCAAGACAATCATGATGACATTCATTCGAATTGCTATATCAGTGATAGAGCATGTCCCAGATGGCGATGTGCACCGTGAAGTCGGCGAAACATGTTTTAGATCACTCGCAGGACAAAATGCACCCTCGGAATTGTAAGTCCTATGCTACAATCTTACCGACAGTCACTGTACGTAAAGTCTACGCGTAGTCAGACAGTTGTTTGGGCTTCTAGAGTCACAGCGCTTAAACATTGCAATTGGTTGGTATCGATCCGTTTGGAAGTTTCCTCGCTCTGTCGAAATGAGCGACGGCTAGACTAAAGAAAAGTGGTATCAGACTATCAGACTATCAGTCCATATTCGAATTATCAACTGTGGTAGGTAAGGGGGTGTTTTCCGTCTCTTCGGAGTCAATCACCGAAAGTTGCTGCAACTTGGGGAGACTGGTGGACTCGAGAGCTAACAAGCGAAACCCACTGCTACCCACTCAGTGTACCAAGCAAAGACTTTACTCCGTGAAATCATCTTCTGTGCGCGAGTGGACACTTGCAAGTTGAATCATTGTTCCTTGGTTGGCCACATCATTTCTAATCTCGTATTCCTAGAAGTCGCAATCAAAAGTGTAAAAGTCAAACAACATTTGAAATCTAATCCATTGAATTTACCAACATAACAAGAACAATCAGATAAAGTTTGGTGGCTGACGTTAAAAAGAGTATAAATGATAGAGTCGGGACAGTCGGTACACGATACTCGATACTCGATGGAAAGTTTTTTTTGGGACGACACCGAGTATCGTGAAGATGTTTGATGTTTCTGCGTATTTAGGCTGTGCTTACTCAATATGATTGAGCCTTGCTACTGCGCTTCGTCCCCTCCCTCTTCCTTCCCGTTTATTGGTGGTGCAAATGCTAAGCTTCTGTCTACTGCAGTCTACAGCAAACACTAGGTTCCATGGAGGTCCTGCCCGCCTACAGGGGAAAGTTAACTGTTTTTCGTAAGGCTCAGGTACCCTTTCCATTAGTCCTTGAAAATCAATGCATTAACGCATCCTAGAATTAAGGTTATCCATAGGGAATACTAAATAGAGAGTGATCTACTTGATTCTTCTGTGTGCGATATATCTGGACTCTTGATACGGACTTTTAGGTATCGATGAAGGGGTTAACCGAAGAACATCTGATATTCATCCAGTACATATCATCCACATCATCATCACATCATGAGACGACGATTATTCCATTCTTACGCAGCCTTGAACCCAATTGCAGAATTCTATTCGTGTAACGTGCATTAAAACAGTATAACAGCATGTACGTACCATGGAAGTGAGTAAAATTGACCCTTGTCATACTAATTTCCTTTTTCAGGGTTTTATCCTCAGTAATTACCTATGCTTCCAACATAATCCTCGAATCAAATGATCTATAGCCCACCAAGGTACATCTCGTCTAATAACCCTCCGCCTCAGTTCCATCCTCCGTCAACCAAATCTTACACCAAATTCACTCAAATCTCTCTTGTGTCAATCATCAATATGTCGAATTTGGTTCCGTGTAACTTTGTAACCAATCCAGATCCAACATCCTGACTTTAGCGTTCAATCCTTCTTCTATTAAAATGTATAATTATATCCCAGCCTAGAACACTCCCGAGCCACCCCCCTCCCTCCCCATAAGTAAGAAGTGGTGCTGCCAAGGGTAATGGCACATGCACCTGTAAGTTTGCGAAATGAGAAAGTGGTTTAAAGAATCCTCTCTTTCCAGTTTCTGACAATCCTCCCTTCTTTCTTATTCACTACAAACTGAAAAATAATAAAAGAAAATCAATCCTTTTTTCTTCTTCCCCAACCTTAATCTTTTGTATCTTTGATACTGTCCATTCTTTGAATTTCTTCTTCTCAACCAACCCTTAATATCAAAATGCGTTACCAATTCGTTTCCGCCGCCATCTTGGCCTCCATCTCCTCCGTCTTTGCCCAAACTGCTGGCTTTGACGCTATCTCAGTTCCCACCAACGGTCAAGTTGTCAGTGTTGGAGATGTTTTGGACATCACCTGGGCTCCTAACTCCGTCTCCGGAACTGTTACCATCAAGCTCTTGGAGGGTGCTTCCCCTGCTACCTTGAACTACGACCCTGTCGTCGTTGCCAGTGAGTTACAATTTCTCTCTATGCATTGAAGATCAGGACAATTGTATTAACAAACATACTCAGCCTCCGTCAACAACTTGGATGGATCATACAAGTGGACCGTCCCAGCTTCCGTTGGTAGCTTCGCAACCTACGGTATTGCCATCTTCCTCGATTCGGATGTCAACACTTTCCAATGGTCCTTCCCATTCGTCATTAACGCCGCTGCTTCCTCCTCTTCCTCTGTCATCGTTTCAACCACCGCCTCATCATCTGTTGTCGCCTCTACCTCCGCCGTGACCTCTGTCGTCGCCTCTGCTACCACCGAGCCACACGCTGCCTTGTCCTCCTCCACCAGCTCTGTCTTCTCTAGCATCTCTGGTATCCCAGGTGGATGCAACCCAGCCCACCCAGGATCCTGCCCAAGCTCCTACTTCAGCACTGTCACCACTGCTACCGCCACCCCAGCTCCAGTTCCTACCGCTGCCCCAGCCACCAATGGAACCGCTTCCAACGGAACCTGGACTGCTCCTTCCGGATCTAACGTCACCTTGAGCTCCAGTGCTTCTGCTACCAAGACCGGCTCCGGTGTTGTTACCGCTACTGGCGCTGCTTCAGCAAAGGTTGCTACCGGCTCCTTCGCTTTGTTGGGTGGTCTCTTTGCTGCTTTCATGTTGTAAATCATTTCTCTTCGTACCGTTAAGATTTGAGATATAATAGATAATACCATGGTAGATATATATCAGCATACATTGGTGGATATAATCATTTGCATTGGGATTATAAAAATACAAAGGACATACAAAACGCATTGCGCGGCGCTAGACAGCAACACATTTTTCATTGAGTTTGGTTTGGGTGCGGATTTAAAGCTTCTGGTTACATAGGATTATAGGGTCAACAAATGTTATGATAAACTTCTTTTACATACCCATCACAAGTTTTAAGAATACCCCGTGTTATTTGGTTAATGATGGCTGGGTTTTAAGGGGAATTGTTGCAGTGGTTTGGCTTTTAGAACGATGAATGAAGTCAACATTTTTGATCTTTATATTATATTTGTGCATGTAGTGACTGACAAGTGACCATTTTGCGTGATGCTTGTGATGTGTACGATAACATTGTCTAAGAGAGTTGTGCTCTGTCAACTTCCCGCCGAATGTATTGGGCAGCCCAAAATCACTCATGCTTCCTGTTGTGGTTTCTTGATCTTACCTACATGAACACGACCAACCCATTCCCATGGTTAATGGAGATGTGGAAGATTCTAGACGTTTTGTTTCGACCCATCAAAGTTATCCACGTCGGTGTGTTTTCACTTCATGTATATCGCTGTCTCAAATGCCATCAACTGGAAAGAGAACATCGATTGACGATGAGAATCGAGAAAGTCTCAACTTCAAAGTTGCATCTAAACTTAGACTGTAATAGATTGATTCATTCCGTCGCCGTGCGAGGATGGCAAACATCCCAACTTTTGATCTCTGGGTCTGTAGTTGGATCTCGTGACATACTAGGTATGGTGTATTAGAAAGAAGAGAGAGGGTGTAAAGCTGTCCCTTGAGTGAATTAGTAGGAATCGAGGATTTTAGAGGAACGGCCAGTCGAAATCGTGTTGTTCTACACTCATACGATGGATGATCAGTCACATCGTATACAATGGCTAGATCTAGCTAACAGTCGAAACTTTACCTGGCCGTGACACCTAGTTCTTGTTCCAGACCCATTGGATCTCTCGGGAGCAGTTCTAGGCCACAAAAGTAGATGAAGGGAGTTGCTTCTGTTGTAGAAGAAAAGCAGTGGTATTGTTCTTATTGAGTTCCGGGTTGAAAAGTGCGGGCGCCTGCATTATCGAGACTTCTTGATGTTTATCAAAGTATCTACTAGGTGGTAGGGATAACACCGCATCTTGAGCACGCGATTATATATTAAAAAAATGATCAAAGATAACTGGAGAGTTGGATGATCTGTACGCTGCCCTCGGGAATTATTATACAGTACTGGATAGATAACGCGTTGAACCTTGCGCTGCTGGCGATACCCCGCGGCGGGGTAAGGTGGGTAGCACTGAAACACCAGCATGATCGCCCACTAAGAGATAATCATCATCCTTCCCGCCTTCATTTATAAATTACGCTTTTCCCTTCAGGAACCGTTATACAAACTCACGTACCCTCAATAATAAGCCCATAAAAAGTATGTCACCAACGGCGACTTCTCTCGATAATGAATCCGCAAATAATAGTCGAGTGGGTGCAAAGGGGACGACTGTGTCAGGCAAAAAGCTCAAAATCAGGTCGTACCCGAGGTTCGAAAGTTTAGAAGAAGAAAGATTGTATCGCAAACAGCATTTGGCTGCTGCATTTAGGATGTGAGAATCTTTTGAAAAACTGTGATACTTCAATTGTTACTGAGATAGGACAGATTCGCCGATCGAGGTTTCGATGAAGGGGTTGCTGGCCATATGTGAGAATGCCGTCGAGTAGTATTCTAGTCGCCGATGATAAGAAGCTAATTGAATTTGGATAGATCAGTCCGTGACCCCATTCTTACTGATCACTTTTGGCTTAATCCCCTCTCTCAACATTTCTCTCAAATCTGTGTATCAGACCTTATCTTGGTGAACGAAGATGGTGATGTGGTGATTGGAGATGAGCCAATCAATGCTGCGGCGTTTGCCATTCATTCTGAAGGTACAAGAACTCCACCGTCGGGCTTTTCAAGGTAGCTGATATTTTGCAGTTCACAAAGCTCGACCCGATGTACACGCTGCTTGTCATGCCCATTCTGTCTATGGCAAAGCCTACAGCGCATTCGGCCTTCCTCTTGATATGATAACTCAAGATTCTCTCCGTTTTTACAAATCACATAGTGTATATGACAATTTTGGAGGGATTGTACTTGACCGCGAAGAAGGTATTCGTATCGCGAAAAGTTTGGGCAACGGCAAGGCGTGCATTTTACAGAACCACGGGCTGTTAACGGTCGGGCAGAGTGTGGATGAGGCAGCCTTCTGGTTCATTAGCCTTGATAAAACCTGTCATGCCCAGCTACTTGTTGATGCTGCGGCTTCAGGTAGTGGGAAGTCGAAGAAGATTATCGGAGATGAGGAGGCAGCTTTTACTTATGATCAAGTCGGAGGTACTTTTGGCTTCTACTTGGGAAAAATTTACAAATTACTGACTCGACATAGGACCAGAAAAGGGGTGGTTAGCATTTCAAGGCTACTATGATGAAATTATGGCCAAAACAGGTGGGAATTTTCTAAAGTGACAACACAGAGAGAAATGGAGAGGGAATCTAATCAGCTCGATTGATGGTCTGGTATACTTCCATATATTTGCAGGCGCTGTCGTGACTTGAAGCATCGTCTAGTCTTGATTTTATCAGGTCATACACATAGAGATCTCGATGACCAAAATAATTTAATGAATGCTCTTTCGTCTGTCGCTTATTCCGTAGCCATATTGTTCAATGTTGTAATCGTAGACGCTTCCCATGCATGAAGCAATCACAAGCATGCAGGTCTCCGTCTAGGACGCAATTGTTTCTCCGAACATGCGACTGACACGATAATCCTTCGAAGATTTTTCATCCTACATATCTGACATATGTATTGTAACATCGAGTAGAGTTTCCACAGTGAGCACGAAAGAGATCGCGATTGTCATGCACCCATGAATTCGGGACTTCCTTGTGAGCATCCGGTACCGATTATTCGGATATGTTAGGGAATGGTGGCTGAAGAAGGGAAAACTAGATTGAGAATGGGGGGTCGGTCTTCTTGGGTATAGATATCTAAAGGTGGGACTGATAAAATGTTGCCCAAAAGATGTTTGGGTAGCGGCCAGTTATCATCCATGAATCGGATTTGAGGCACATGTTGCTATGCCCTGTCATGGAGCTGACCGACCTAAAGAGTAATTGAGGCAATGCATGTGACATGACGACAGCGAGGCTGACCACTATTGAGACCTACGTGGTAACATATGAGACCACTCTGTTAGGGGTTGATCGTCATCAGCAGTGATTTTTCCGTTCTCTCTTATTCATTCATGTCTTTCTGTTCACCCTCTTGGCTACCCTATTCTCGGGAAATGTCGACTACCTGGGTAGTGAGTGGAAAGTGGACAGATCATGGATGGTAGTTCAAAGTGACATGGACATTAATTGAAACATGTCAAATACACCAAATGCATGTTCTTGCAGTATCGTCTGCAATGTAACTCTGACTTATGAGTGATCGAGACGATGTACCCATTACCTCGGGAGGTGATGGTCGATGTGATGGTCGATGTAGATCTGAAATGTACCGGGTCATTGGAGGAGACAAGCCATCCCACCCTTACATTTCCTTTGTTTTTCCTCGCCATCCTCAAGCCATCCTTGAGCCATCGCATACACAATCAGATATCTAGGCAAGTAGAGGTAGGGAGGGAGGGAGGGAGGGAGGTAGGTATGCTCTTTGTATTTTGGAGGTGATGACTGAGGTAAAGCAACATCTTCTTCCGCTAATTTACCTACGACTAGACAAGCTTATTATTTAGTTGCCCCTCCCCCACCACTAAACAATAAAAGTTCCAAGGTTCTTAAAGTTCAGAGTTTAGAGCTCATCCACATTTATTACTATTAACATGGAGGTCGACCGTGGTAACTAGGTAGGCAATTCACTTCACTTCATTCAATTCTTCTTCTTCTCAATATATACTTTGACAATTCTTTCAACACCTGCCCACTCCATGTCAATATCTTCAACCTTGGTCAAAACCTCCATCTGTTCAGCTTAACAATCGCTCTTCATCTTTGCGAAGATCTGTAGTTATTTCCACTTTACATGCTACATATAGTCTACCTACAGTTTACTCAGATACCATGCGCCTATCTACTTTCTGAATTACCCACCCAGCTGAATTGGAACACCACCACAACTAATCATCCACTTCCAAGGGAGTCAACAACGCCACAAAGGCACGTCGTGGTTTCGTGCTTCTGTGATTTGCGAAACCAGAAAAAAAAAAGAGGTGTGGTAGCACGAAGCGGGAAGCCTTGATCATATTCAAGAGCGGGGCTAATATCTTTCAGTCCTATCTTTACCACCTTTACCTTGAGATCATCTCACTCTCTAGTATACGGTTGTGACTATCCTAAAATACTTGGGAATAATGGCTGCACAATCAGGAAATCCTCGAACGAATCGAGGGGAGACTTCTCTTGATGCGGCAATGCGAGCGCCTTCTACTACCACTCCAGACATCGTCGTTCTCAGCTTTGTGGACGAAGATATTAAGGTCAAAGAAGTGGCAGATCCTAAAAAGGATCTCTGGGTATCTAGTGTCGATGGGTATGTTAATTCTATTATCTCTTGCGATTCTGTTTGGACTGCACATCACCTTCTCAGAAGTCGCAAACGATCCATACTGATTTGATCACAACATAGTCGCTATTCATCACCGATGATACCGATTCGTGTCGGACCCCATGCCCAAACATTTTATGTTCACCGCGATATACTCACCAAATCGGAATACTTCAGGAAGGCGTTGGACGGAGGGTTCAAAGAAGCCCAAGATCAAGCCCTTGATTTGCCTGAGGAAAACCCTACGCTGTTCGAGTTTGTCATTGCGTTCCTCTATGAGTCCAAGTACTCTCCTTTGCGTCCTGTCGCAGAAATCCTAGTCGCCGAACCTGAAAAGGGTAAGGGAAGAGAACAGAACGAAGATGGAAATGCTTCAGGTAGTGATGATGGATCAGACAGTGGAACCGCAAGCGATGAAAGGTAGAATCCCCTGCTGAATATTCGAAAACTCTATGAGATCTTGTTACTAAATGCTCAAAGTGCCAGAAGTCGGAGAAGACGCGAAACTCGTCGCAGACGTCAAGAGCGAGCCTGGGAACAACGACAACGAAAGGAATCTGGACGTCATCGGCCGGATTGCAATTGTGCTCAATGTACCGTGGAAACCTTTGGTCCAACCTGCTGGAACTGTGGCGTAACGAGAAGAATACCTCCACCCAGAAATCGTTGGATGAATGGTCTCCCACCACCACCTCAGCCAATGCCGGTCATGGGTCGTAATGGTTATCCTCAAGCCCCTGGTCCGAGAGATCGTAGAAGAGGCTCTCGAAACAATGCTTTGGATGAGCCTCCTGTGGAGGAAAGAATGTCTCAAGAAGACTTGAGAACCTGGTCAATAGCGTATTCTATAAGCGTCGAAGTTTACGTTTGCGCTGAGAGATATCTGATGCAGGACTTCAAAACTTGTATATCCGCATTCATCGTAAACAATTTCGAAGTTGCTGGATCAGATGCTGCACTACCTTCGGTTTTGAAATCATGTAAAACTTTATATGATGGTGTAAGCTCAATGGATCCTCTGCTCAAAAAAGTCTTTGCTAGAGTTGGTTTCTTGCAAGCTAGATTGTGGAAGAAGTATCCCGAGGAAACCTCAAATTTCTTCATGGACAATCCGGAACTATCGACGCTAATTCTTAAGGAAATGGCCGAGAGGAGAGAGGAGGATGTCAAAGATGATTTGCCTGCCATGGATCGTCCTCCATTGCCACCTTCGCCAAGAGAAGACATAATGCAAGGTCCGAGACGTCGGAATTATGGTCCAATGCCTTATCACTAACTTTGACAAGACTACAGACAACAGCGGGCACCACAACGATGGTACCATGTGACCTAATATACTCTCATGCATATACATCAAAATGTGCAGCTTTTTTTTTCCTTTTAGTTATGAGATCAAGGATCACGATGGAGCAAGGGCTCACATTTCCATTTTTTTTAGCGGTTTTTTCTCATCTGGGGCTTTGGGATACCTTGCATAGTGATGCGCATCTTTTCCTTATACCCTCCGCGTTTATGGAAGCAAAGGCTATTGGGAAGGACTGGAGTTTGAGGGCAGGTCTTGGTCTTGATCGCGTTTACCAGCATTAACTTTATTTAGCACGGAAAAATACATATTTCGGTGTAGCAAAGCCCGATATTTTAATCCATGGATGCAGTTGTGATGTGATATGATGATTGATATGTACCTAGGTATTAGGCAATATAATTTCCGTCTTTCTATTGGCCGCTTATTTCACTTAAAAAGTGTATGTGAAATCCTGGTCGGATTCTTCCGAGCTCTTTTCCCCCAGATCTGCACAACCCCGCCATTTAACATCTCTCTCCATTCAAAAAGTGTCTTCAATTAGGAATCAAGTTTGCGTGCATTCATTGACTAGGTAGGTATGTATGAATCAATGAATGACACTTGAAGTATGAGAATCTGGATATATAAAGGTTGTAAGTGCCAAGGAAATTGAAGGTTGAAGTTATCATCTATTACATTTCCTTGAACGGTTTGGTTGCTTTCAAAATGAATTTAACCTCACTTCAATCTGCTTTACTTTCTTTATCCATCTTTCCCTTTCTTGTAATTGCACAAAATATTACAGCATCTCTAGATTATGGCACATTCCAAGGGGCATACTCATCTACATATAACATAACCTATTATCAGAAAATCCCCTTTGCAGCTCCTCCAACTGGGAACAATAGGTTTAGAGGCCCACAACCTCCTCTTCCTATCACAAATGGAACCTATAACTCCATTCAAACATTTCCCGCTTGTCCTCAAAAAGGTGTAAGCACTCTATCCTCATAGCCATGCTACATGTCCGGCCAATTTAAGTCTGACGTGACCAAATGTAGAATGTTGGATCAGAGGACTGTCTTTACTTATCCCTTTACTCTCGCCCATGGACGTCCAATCAGCCACTTCGACCAGTCATGGTAGTTTTCTTCGGAGGCGGATTCATTCAAGGCGGTGGTTCGCTGGCAGTTCCCCCTTCGGCCTATCCCATTCTCAATGTTTCTGCTCAGAACGATATACTCTTTGTATACCCCAATTATCGTGTCAATACATTTGGATTTCTCCCAGGAAGAGAGATTGCAGAAGATGAAAATTCAGATCTAAATCCTGGACTGCTGGATCAGAGAGCAGTTCTTGAATGGGTAAATAAGTATATCGATCAGTTTGGCGGAGACAAAGATAACGTGGGCATTTGGGGGCAAAGTGCAGGAGCGGGAAGCGTGATGTTTGTTACTCCTTTTCACTACCTCAAGAGCAGTTCTTCTTATACACTGAATGTATGTATTGACTAACGACAATCTCATACAGCGCACAAGTTCTCGCCACTTCCGGGGAAACCACTCCACCCCTCTTTAATCGTGCTCTCGCTTCCTCTCCTTTCTGGCCCAAATCATACACCTACGATGCTCCCCAAGCTCAATCCATCTATGATACCATGACGGACCTGACAAACTGCACTGGTGCTATCAATGGCACTCTACAGTGTTTGAAATCTCTAGAATGGGAGGTTCTAGCCGAGGCCGCGCTAGTTGTTGCGGCGAGTCATACTTGGAATACTAGCAGTTATACGTGGGCGCCAGTTATTGATGGGAAGTTCCTGAAGAAAACTTTGAGTGAAGCGACGGTCAATGCGAAAGGTGGCCGTGGAGGCAAAGGGGAAATCGCTATTACAGGGGGTTGGGGCATGTATAATGCGCATGAAGGTGAGATGAATTTCTTTTTCGGTCAGAATGTTGAAATTCAGAGTATCATGTTGGATGCTGGGCTGTTTTGATACCGCAAACTTCCACCTCGCGCCTTGGAGAAATATTTAATCCATCTAAAATTCTATGATTCTCCCGGTAATTTTGGGACATTGAAGAGATATTGAGAAACTATTCCTTTGGAATCTCAATACAGATACAATCAGAACCGTTCTCTTCCAGCCTCAAAGCCCACCCACTAACATCTCCCAACCAGGTGAAAACTTCGTCCCCTCCGGTCTTCAAAACGCCACCGACACCGGTACACCACCCTTCAATTCCACCATCGCCTCCTTCAACGTCTGGCTCGCCGGCTACCTCCCCTCCTTTTCCAAATCCCAGCTCGATGCCGTGCGCGCCCTATACCCTCTTTCCGGCACTGCAGAGACCTTTCCAGCCTACAACACTACGTACGAGAGAGCAGGACTCATATACCGGGACTCGGTATTGGCGTGTCCGGCTCTGTGGACGAGCAAGGCGGCGAGTGGGAGCGGGTGGATGGGAGAATATACGATCAGTCCCGCGAGACATGGAAGTGATACGATCTATGTAACTCTGCCTTCTTCCATCCTTTCCCTTCTCTTTTCTTCTATTCTTCCCCTGCTTCATATTGGAAAGCTTATCTAACCACCCCATTCAGTGGAACCAAGTAAACGCGGTCCAAAAATCGCAACCGCTCATCTATCAAGGCTACGCAGGAGCATTCGCCTCCTTTATGGCCACCGGAAACCCCAACCAGCATAAGCTGACAAATGCATCGGAGCCGGGCGTGCCAGAAATCAATACCGGCATGGAATATGTAATTGCGAGTGACGGGTTCGAAAATGTGGGGATTGATGTGGGAAGAAATAGCTTGGAGGCAAGGTGTGAGTTTTGGGCCAGTGTTGCGAGAAGCGTGCCGATTTAGAGACGGGAGGATTGTGGGGTGTTGGTGGTGGTGGCGTGGCTGGTTGAGCCATGTACTGGAGTCTTGTATAGCTTGTGATTGAAAATTAAGTTGTTCGCATAGACATTGTGGAACCCATGCACACCCCGTATATTATTGTGACTTACCTAGGTGCCTGCAATGCTTTGTAGTATGTTTCTCGTACGGCAGCATATCTTCCTCACAGTTCTAGTGCCGAGCACCAAAGGCGATAAACACCCAACGAGGATCTCTGTATTGCAAGAATGAAGGTAGGTTGTCAAGGAAGTCTAATCACGTCGGCCATCAACATGAAATGGACATGTTGTAAACGTTCCTTTATCTATGGATGCTCTATCTCGCGTTCCATTTCTCAGAGAAATATAATAGCCCAACCTAACGTAGGTATCTGCTAGTTCATGAGCTGCTATCAATACCTAGCTCTATGTGCAAGATCGCTACGACTGAGACGAATTGAATAGCAAGCAAGTCTACAATCGTAACTTCGTGCACCATTGGCTAATTCCTACGCATAATCGCCGTGCCTCCCTTCCTTTTTGAATCCCGTATATCAATCCATTTATGTAGGAATTTCCCTTCCCCAAACAGGAATGAACGCCAACAATACTGACGCCACACTTTTCCCAACACAACAATAAAACGCCCGCTTGTCTGTATTCCCCGACACCTTCGCTGAAAAAGTCATGTGTCTACCCGATAATCTCCTTACGATGAAACTCCGAATAGCATAAACGTAGTCAAAACTCCCTGTTTCAAAAATGGCATTGTATCGAACTCCATGATGAAGCCTTAATCGTCCGCTTCTTCGTCGGTTGCCGTATCGTCGTCTTCAGGCGCATTCTCGTCCTCCTCATCCTCCTCCTCGTCTCCACTACTATCATCATCACTCTCATCTTTATTTAGTCCTGGGATGCCTTGCCATTGTACATAGTCATCCTCGATCCACTTCTTTGACACAGGTAATTGATATGGATCAAAAGGAAAATAAGCATCCAATTGGTGCCAGCTGTCATTGCTTGCACCATTACCCGAATCCCGCAATGCTCCATTTCCAACTGCACTCGAGAACTGGCTCAAACGAATACGTTTGTTGGTCTCTAGCAAAGGATATACGTACATAAATCGTAGATGATGTGCGATTTTAGCGAATTCAGAAACAATGGGCGGGGAACAGATTTTAAGAGGGTTGAGCTTGGAGTAAATAGCACGAGAGAGTGTCTCTTTGATGCCTGTTGTCCAGACAAGATCTTGTCCAATGAATGCTGTGGGGTCTTCGTCATCAAATACCTCGGAAGAATCTATAAGATCCCGCCAGCGGAAGCAAAAGATATAAAGTAGAGCTTGTGTCATAGCATAAAAAGTGCCATATTTCTTTAGATCGGGTCCCCGACAAGTGAGTTCATTTTCCGTGCGAATGTGATCCAGATTGCTCCCGATGAGCTCGAAAACGGTACGAACCACTTGAGGCTCAACGTGTGCGCCTCGCGCCACAAAGCTAGCGAGATAAGCCGCGGAAGATTGTCGAAGGACAGCGGGTCTGCCAGGTTGGAAAGCTAGTTGCACGCACGTTCCGGCAAATTGATCGATAAGATGTTCAGACTTTTGTGCAAAGTGGAAGAGGAGGAATTGAGTGTGTCTAGATCTATATGTAGGTAGAATGATATTGGCGAAATGTCCTAGTAAAGTCTCGAACATATTTGCAGCTTCTATGCTATTTGGGTCTGTGAAATAAGGATCGTAGATAGCAAATAAGCGGTCCAGTATTGCATCCATTTTCTCGACACTTTCTTGGATTTCTTTGGCTCGTTTTGCTTGGTCTCCACTTTCATCATCGCTATTAATCGATTCGGCGTCGCTGTCGTCGGAATCATCTGCGTCATCATCGTCTTCTTCTTCCTGGTCAGAAGGATTCATAGCGAGGCCTTGAACAATAGCACCTGCGACCTCATCATCCACGTCGTCCAAATCGACCTGCATCTGTACATCAATTTTGACCAGTCTGTCCGTGATGAGAGCGAAAACATCCGACTTCAATTCGGGAGCATACTCCAGAAGACGAACGAGATTGTTGATATATGTGACATGTACTCTCTTTGTTTCATCGGCAAAGGGAAACTTGGTTGAAAGGATGGGCGAGAGTGTAGCGCTGGCGGAGGGTACCAATCGAAGAAGGTATCTCAGTGCAAAATGAACTCTCGAAGAAAGTGTATCGCGACTAACATCTGGGCAGCCAGGAAGACGCCCACTCGATACTCGTACTGTATCCATGTTAGCAGAGCTTGGGAGACTAAGGAGGGGTAACATGCCTCCAGTAAAGTTATCAACGAGCGTTCCAAGCACCAACCCAACATACGCTCCCTGTGCGCTAACCAGGTTTCCCAGAAACTGAGCATACGCCTTGACGAATCCCTCTTCTCTACCCATCCAGTCGCACTTCAATATGGCTTTAACTAGCCCGTTGCAATCCTTATTCAATAGTGATGCATAGCCAGTGAGCGCTAGCAGATATGTTTTCGCTTCATCGTTTGAACCAGTATCCTCTCTCTCGTCACCCTCAGTCTGCGCAAATACTTCTTTAATGCTATCGTACTTTTCGCTGTCACCTTTGCCATGTGCCTCTATTGCCCGCTTGACCTCCACTCTGATACTTTCTAAACTTCTACCCTTTGCGACATATTCCTCTAGAACCTTTTCCTCGACCTTGGGATTGAAAGATACTCTCGCTCGTTTCGGATTTGGCACTTCTAAATCGTCATCCAGATCTGCATCTTGAGCTTTTCTTATCGTGCCTGACATGGTAGTTTTTAAAAGTGGTTTGCTACCAGTGGTGATAGGTATTGAGGGTTTCGAGGTAAGAGATACCATATTGCAAAATCTTGCAGTGGAAAATTAGAATGTGTTGAGACCATTAATAGTGTTAGAAAAATAATTGTTGTGTTAAGAAGAACTATGCTGTGTTCGAAGCAAGGCTACAATTGGCGATGGAGGTTTTTGCTCGTGTGCTTTTCTGAGGTAAGCCAAAAAAATATTTTGGATCTACCTAGTCACATGATGGACCCCGGCTTTGCCCCTCCCTCCCCACAAATGACTACTTAGTATACTTAGTATATATATTTACTGTGGACATCAAAGGTTCAGATTAGTCTTATCAATATTTACTGTAATAGTGAATCAATACGGGATATTCGGATCTTTAGGTCACTACAAGAACACGACATGGTTCAAAGCTCAAAACTCACAGGTGCTTCAAAAGGGACATGTGCACATGTTGATGGTATCATTATGTTCATTTTCCCTTGATATACAAGCCATAGAATGTGGTATTATTCTAGCAATCTGATGTGGGGCTGTTTAACCTACATCTGATGCTGTCCTTACTGCCCAATGCTATTCGTCCATCTCTGAGCTTTCATGAGACCGAACCCCCTAAGGTTATCAGCTTCTTGCTCTCACGAGCCAAGAAATATAATAAAGCATCAAAAAAACACCCCTTACTTTTGACCCCATCCTTTGTACAAGGTAAGCAATTTGGATATCTCAAAAGTGGCCCATTAGCACCCGCCCAATTCCTCCCTTCCCAACACCTTTGCATATAGTTGATACATTCTTGCAATGTAAATCTTTCGCCCGTAAAATTCATCGATCCTCCGATATAGTCAATTTGAATTCAAAACAAAACACCTAGTAACCTTCTCCACCGGTAGCACCATTATGACCACCACCATAAACGTAAGCACCACCATCGTGTTCTGCTTCTACCTGTTGACCAGCAAGAACATTATTAGCACCCTCTGCTCCGACCGGGAACGTTGCCGAAGTTGCATTTGCAGTAGTGGCTCCAGAAGCTGGTCCAAAACCAGAGCTACCTGGTCTATTTTGGTTGTCTCCTCGAGTCGATTGTTGCTAAAAAAATTCCGTTAGTCTTGTACATGGTTGGTCCAGTAAGCATGAATCATAGGTAGATGCTAAAGGATATTTGATTAAGTGACTTGACTCACTTCTCGATATTTTGATAGGTAAATTTTGAGTGCTTCGGCATAATTTTCGAATCCCAATGAGGTCATGGCGAAAAGAATGTCTTCTCCGTTGACAGTCTTGCGCTTCTCTTGATGGCATTTCTCAGAAGCTGTGATAGGACAATTAGAACAGTACAAAGTTTATCTCGAATTTCGGACCGAGACATACCTTCGCTTGTAATGAAAGAGATGAATTCGCTGACACATTCTTGCATGCACTCTTTGGCCTCTTTTGCAATCTTTGCATTTTCTGGTAGAGCTGTCTTCATGATACGTGCAACTGGCGCAAAGTTACGAATGTTAGCTTCTGAATGACCAAGATCATATTTTTCTTCCCTTGAGACGCCTCGCGTCTCCGGTGATTGAGAGGATGAAGTGTGAGACATGATAGGATGTATGATCACAGTGACACCGCTAGATTGAAACGTTTGTGCTCCAAGCTCTTAACTGGTCCGAAGGCGAGGACATGCGCGTGTAATTAGTGTGATCAACGAAGCGATACCATTCACCATAAACTTCGATATAAGGTAATCACACAAGATTCAATTCAAGATGGTGAATGACTGAAAAAAAGAAATCATCAACTAACCATTTGCTATAGGGAGCCATCTATCTTGTTCTTTGACTTCAAACTCGTAGCCTCCAGGAGCGTGTGGATCCGTATGTTCATTCATTTGTGCATCCGTGTCATCTGGCGAGACTCCTTGTTCAACGTCCGTTTCCTTTGGAGGGGAATTGGACATGATGTATTTGGGTAGGTGCAGATGTCGGATAGCCGCTTCCTCAAAATTCCTTGGTTGCCACGTCGGCCGTATGATGTGTAGGACACGTCGTAAAGCCTTGCGATCTCGCAGTTATGCGTATCTGCGTGTTGACTTGCGTTGACCCTCGAGCAGACAGCCTTCTTTTCCCAATGTGCTTACTCTACCTAGGTGGATGTTGCCGGAAAAACGCGAGTGAATGGGGGTACGCCTCCGTATGAAACTAGGGTCCTTTGAAAGGGTATCACTTTCTGGGCTGAGCTGCAGGTATCCTACTGCATAAATCGCGTCAGAGGGTTTGCAAAAAATTCGGGGATAGAAGGGTGGGTAGAGAATTTTTTTGGTATGAAATTGTAAAGAAAGCTTACCCACTTTCGTTCGAGGTCGGAGATATTCAAAGACTTCCTGCACGAATGCGCCTTGTGTTTCTATGTTTATGAAATCTGCAAGACAATAAATAAATGATGCGCGTGGGTGGGAAAGATGGAAACGTGGGGTTTAATGAATGAAGGAAGGAATGATAGAGAAGGTTTCCTTTTGATTGTTTTGTAATTGAGGTATGAAATGGGAAATGGGTGGTAGTAATGGGGGTTGTTGGTATGGATGTAGCTTTAGGTAGGTACTATGTGTGTAGCTTTTTTGGATGTTGATCAGAAAAGTACGATGTAGCAAATTGTAAGCTGGAGGTTAGATCTTAGATAGGTTGTGACCTTATAAGGTTCCAAATGGAAGGAGCTATGATTGTAGAATAGCTAGCTCCGAGGCTCTTTCTTTTTTAGGGTCCTTTCATGCCCCGTACGCACTTTGAATCACCAGCACAACAACAGAAAAAGAAAAGTCAAAGTGTGGCGGATAAGGGATACCGAGTAGCATCTGGAAGGTATCTGGCTATGAACTTCTGACAGAGCAAGGGAACAGTACAGAGTACAAACCTTGAGATACAGCTCCGCTGGTAAGATTCAATCCAATTCAATCCAATTCAATCCAATTCCCATGATTCAAAGCCAGAATCAACTAAGATCCAATAAATGGTCAGTTTTCTCAACCCTGTGTCTGTATACAATACCTAGACAGAACCGTAGAATTACGCCTTCTCGAGTTCTGAAGTAGAATTACGCAATACTATACCTACTGGGTACTTTCTTTACAGCAGAACTTTCCTTACAGCAGATCCATAGAATCATATCACGGTAATCACCCATTGAACTTTGTGGATGGATGGATATTGGGTAGAATATTCAATCGATACATGCGAAAACACGGTATGTGGGTGGTAGTATCTTACTTGGGTGCTCAGGTGCAAGTGTGAGTGTAATAAGTGCAAGAAGTATACCCAGTGAGTGTGTACCTTGTAGTTGGTCTCGAAGTGGTGTTATGTAGCTATAAAGTAGGTAAGGGGTGCTGTTTATATTGGATCGGTAACACCATTGAGCTGTAAAGCTTTGCGTGTACATTTAAGTCCCCAAGTAATAACAAGTGATGCTTTGAGTCGGTATGTGCGCTTCTCAGCAATACAAACAAATTATCACTGATTCAGTATCTGGGTAGCTCTGGTTGAGTGTGATTGTGTTGCAAACGCCAAACTTCATCCCGATGTAAGTTAATTTTACCTCGAACGCTGAATGGTCAACGCAAAAGCTGATCGAGCTTCCAGACGTCAGGTACAAGAAGCAAGGCTTGGGATCGGCTTGGGGATTTTCTCGGAAAACGGTAAGATATGTGAATGGAGAATTCAACTTCTCTGCCGTCATTTTCTACGGTCCAATGAATAAATGAAGCTTCAATGAAAATCGTCATTGGGTATACTCATTCAAACAGAATTGGAAATGAAGTGCATTGATTCGGGGATCGAGTGATTGTGCCAGGCATGCATGCCCTTCACCCTCCAATAGCTTACTATTATTCCATATGCAATAAGTAATTGCGATTCACTCAAGTGACCAATACTTTTCAAGATATATGCAGCCTATCAGCTGCACCTCTCATCACATCCCATCCTCAGTCGACCGATGAAGCATTGTTTGCTTGTCAACCATCCCTCCTCTTAGAATAGCATTATACCATCTCATGAAATGCACTGCATCTTTGCATTGATATCACCAAATACTTTGACATTTTTGCTCCCGCAGCTTGGTATTACGTGATGTCACGTCCGAGGCGTGGGTTGAATCCATGGTTAAGACGACAATGACGATGGAGAAAGTATCTACGATGTTATCTACGTAGGTCCTTGTGGAAGTCTTGATATGTTACTTTTGCTCTGTTACAAAGTTGTTTCATTGACGTTGATGAGCAGGTACGATTGCACGTGTACGCAGCAGGAGAAGGCCACATAGGATTGCTCCACATTCGCAATACAGTATCAGGTTTTTGTTGGGGATATTCGATCACTATGATGTGGATGAGCAGGGAAGGTTACCTGGAGATGAGTATATCACAAAGCTCGCTGTCACCGTTGTATCAATTCTGCAAATGGACATCATATCCGTCTCTGTGCAGAAGCATTATGTTCGTCATCCATTAACAAGATACGAGATGAACCATAATCATTCTGCTTCAGACCCCCACAACCGATATCATTTCTGCAGATGCAGGGTTCTGGTCAGCCTGACGGTGATTGAACAACACACCGCGCTTCTCATGCGAACTTAGCCAAAAATATGAACGTCTCGGGTCCTCTCATTTCTGACAGCCCTTTATGATTGGGCATCAAAGGTATCAATTCGAGGCGTTCTCGTTGGGCGTTGAGACGCGAGCCGCCGTGATAATTCAGGACTCAGGCTCGGACTGGCAGGAGTACTGGTTGTCATACAGCGCATCAAAACTACCAATAATCTGGATATTTTGGGTCTAGATGTTTTGATTCATCCACCGATTTACGAGCAATCCAATGTTACTATATTGTTGTACAAACTCTCGTGATGCACATAAGAATATCACAACCTTCGGGGTAACTCAGTAAGGAGAATCATTTTGACAAGTCGAGATCTTGGGCATGAATGCTTTCCCGCGTATGTCATATTTGCTTCCCCGTTATGCAAAAGAATAGCCTGGCATGTCCTTGCCTCCTCCTTGCCTGCCTTATGAGCCAAAGTAGATTTTTACCCATCTTTGTTGTTGATGCAACGCCCATACTCCAAAATATGTGACAAATGCTGACGCTTTTACTGCTGCACGACCTGTATATTGTTCTTCTTCTGTGTAACAACACTCGTCAGCAAATGATTGCTATCAAACCAAGGAATTGTCTTTTCCATACCTTCCATTTCTCCATTTCCGATTGTTTGCTATTGTATTGCTTGACCAAATCCTCCAAGACTTTCCGTAGGCCTTCCGAATTTGTCTTCAAAGCCGGCACCACATCCTTTACAGTCCGCTCAACTAACACGCCATTTATCATTCGAAAACACTTTCGGTCACCAGGAAGAGGTTCAAGTGTTTCAAGAACAAGTCTGTTTGAATAAGGACGGTGAGCATAAGGCTTTCAAGCGGTGAGAATTTGAATCTCCAAATATGTCTTGTATATGTGACAGCGCGAACCCGGAAGATGATTGATCTCTGTAAGACGGGGGTAAAATAAGCCTGGAACTCACTTGTGCTCCTCTGCTTCTGTCTCTACATCGCCAATCTTCGAAGCTATTTGCTGCAGCCCATTTTTGTAATTTGTGTACTGGTTTTGGAGTTCTGATGAAGTGTCAGTTGATGGCTCCAATCTGTAATGAGGTATGTACCTTGCTGCTTGCGCGCCGTAATTTGTTGCGCCATTTTCAAAAAATTAAGACTTCGGAATGACTGGGAAGGTTTCGTTCTTCCTTTGAGTTTCAAAGAAGATTAGGAGTTTGAGTCGAAGAATAAGTAGATACTGAAGTACAGTATATCATATTAGAAAGATGAGCGCGGGGCATCCACAAAAATTAATACTGCCACTTTCACCGCTTAGAATTATCCCGAATACTTTTGAACGATCTCAAATGTCATAATTTGTTACCCATAACAAACACCAATCTGGGATTCCACAATCAAGAAGAAGTTTCAAAATGCATCCTCATTTATGGACCAAAGATAATTCTGCAGGTACTACATTCAACCTCTTATTCCCTTGCGAACTCTACACATGCATTTGGGAAAGCTTATCAGACCATTTCGACAATCTCTAATATTCAGTAGCTTGCGAAGAAGTCATGGCAGCTTTGGATGAATGCCATGCCAGAGGATTCCTGTGGAAATGTATGGGAATGTGCAACGATAAAAAGACAGCAGTGAACAAGTGTCTAAGGGCGCAACGACTAGCACGAACAGCGGCGAACCGAGAAGCCGCAAAGGTCAAGAACGAGAAAATCAAAGCGAAATGGGCAGAGATAGATGAGGCTTCATAAGGGTATAAGTCAGATTTTACAGATACATCTTAGGGATTGGGTCATGGGGGATGGGCGTTGGTTTACGATAGAGGGGCGTTTGGATGTCATTCAATGTTGAATCATGTCGGCATTACATTTCGGGATAAGACGTTTGCCACGGTGATACAAGTGGATCGACTTGATAAGAGGGAGGTGTGTTGGATATGGAGTGGGTGCTATATTAAGTGTCTGTACTTCGCAGATGAGACCATATCAAGAACTCAACTCAACTCAACCATTATGAAAAATCTACAGTGAAAGGCTTTGGAAATATTTTCATTATTGAAATATAACATCACACCAAATTTGATCAATTTTGGAACACGCCAGGCCTGGTATACCATTTTTACTTTCGCGCTCTGAATGCATTTCCGAAGGTGAACAACCCATACAAGGCGAGTAAACTTAAACCCGCGGGCAAAGGTTTTTGACTGCGAATTGCTCTTGGAATGGAGGAGCCTGCAAGAACGACAGATGCGAGAAGAGCGAGTCTGTAAAGAACAATGTAAGCTTTGGAACAAAGGTAAATGGTTAGATATGCACGGTAGACCAAAAAGACATACTCAACGCCATAAGACAGGCGGCTTTGGATACGATAACCACCCAATAGGTACAAGGATCCAACAGTGAGACCTGCGGCGACAGATGGAATACTTCCAGTCCTGACATAACCCATCGTTCCACCACCCGCAGTGAGTGCACCAAGAATATATGCTGGCAATTCGATTCCCTAGCCGCCGTCAATAAACTGTACATGTTCAAGGAGTAGATTCATGAACCCACCATATTTGCGATTTGTTCTTGAATTCGATTGAGATTGATTGATGAGACGTTTCCTATGATTCGATACTATTCGGTAGTTCTGTGATATCTTATTTAGTATTACAAAGCTAGAGCAATTGGATGACGGAAGCTACCCCTCGGCTCTGCCCCCATGCAGAAACCCCTGCAAACGCTAGCAGCATCCCCATAGTAATCGCATCAAGCTTCGTGGCCTTCGAGCTCTAAGCCAAAATTCACAATTCACAACCACAACCTTCACACTTTTCCAAATACACCACCAATTTCACGTTCTTTCCTTCCCACGCACACGATCTTTTGATTCTGAACAATGGCGCCAAAGAAGAACGCTGCGGCGGCTGCTGCTATCGCACCACCCACCACACAAACCACAACTACTATCCCATCCTCTACACCCATTAAGATACCCTCCAAATCCTCTTCGCAAAATCAATCGCCTCAACAAGTAGCCATCGGTATCTGGCAAAATTACCTCGATAAAACACCACAAAGAACGAAGCTGATCGACGTCTTCATGTCATTTTTGGTTGTAGTGGGGGTACTACAATTTGTCTACTGTATCTTGGCTGGCAACTACGTAAGTACCATATTGTACTTTGGATATGAGTCGTGGGGAAGGAACATATGGCGATTAATGGGGAACGATGTGCGTCTGGTTAGTGGAAGGTCATGTGCTAACACAATCGTGATAGCCATTCAACGCATTTCTTTCTGGATTCTCGGCAACTGTAGGACAATTCGTTCTCACGGCTTCATTACGCATACAGACGAACGAGGAGAACAAGGCAGAATTTAACTCCGTCTCTCCAGAGAGGTATATAGTTCTCATTTATTAATGAATTGGGGTACTGCTAACAACATAAACAGGGCTTTTGCAGATTACGTTTTTGGAAGTTTAATTCTACATTTCTTTTGCGTTAACTTCATCAATTAGATGTGTGAACTTCAAGGGAGCTTTGATGCAGCGTGGGAAGACAGATTTTGCAGGGACTGTAGGATTATCAAAAGCCGGGGAGGAATATATTCCCATTATTATGAATTATAAGGGTGTTTTTGTTTTTGTTTTTCAAGTCACAACTACATGTAAAATGTGGAATTACTGGCTATACATTTAGTGCTATCTCGGACAGTTAATCAACACCACTATCATATGGATCTTTCGTCTCTGTGGATATTGGACTGGGCGCCGGGCTTGCGGCTTTGGGTGTCCCGCTCCTTGGAGGGCCTCCTGCTTTAGGAGGTGGAGGCACACCACCACTTTTCGTGCTCGGCGCATGATCTAACTCTCTACTCTTTTTCTCTCCCTCCATGAAATAGTCATCCATGAAGTTATTCGGATTGTGCCCATGTTTCTTCTCTTTCTTCCTCGCTGGTGTCGTGGTTACTGGGGCCGCAAGTTGCGCTGGCACCAGAAATTCACCTGGCTCTTGTGCCACTGCAGCTGGCACAAAGATTTGACCTGCATTGCCTTCACTCCCCGTCTTCTCCCGAGGTTCCTCATTTGAAAACCTCGCGCTCTCTCCTTCAAACAATGTTTCTCCTGGTCCAGCAACAGGCTCACTCAGCGGAGCTGGCAATCTATGTAACGCTCCATACCCCAAAGTACAACCCAGAGCTCCATCCCCACCCCAGTCTCTACTCGGGTGGATAGTGATTTCCCTTGTAACGTTGTATTCATTATTGTAGATGTAAAGTCGTAATGGTCGCCCGATGTGATCCTCGACTAATTCGCCCAATCCACTCTCTCCGTGTAAAACCCCCTCGGGTGTGCCGAGAATATAATCGCTGTAAGGAAGGAGGCCCGCGAGGTCGGCTGGAGAGTTGGCAGGTACGTCTAAGATATGCCATATATTTGAAACGGTGGAGAGAGATGTCCATTGAAGGGTCAGGCCTAAGGATGGAGTATCAGAAGGAACGGGGATATGGATAGTTCGAGTACGTTGGCCCTAAGTATGTTAGTTTGTCAAATGTGAACGAATCGCGAGGGAGGTTATGCCTTTGCGCTCCAGAGACCAAGAGTTACTGAACTTCCAGCACAATTGCGTACTTCCTGGGCAAACAGATTTGCATCAGAATCATCCTAAATTAATCAGCTATGCCAATGGTATTAGATAAGAGAACGCACGATCATTCGTCCATTAATTCCGACAATAAAATCAAACCAAGGTTCAACAGCCAGTTCTGGGGTCTTGTTCCTAAGAACTTGGAATCCAAATGCGGCATGACTGTCCCGGTTCTGGTGAGCGGGAGAGTCCGAATCTAATCGGGAAATAAAGCGATTCAAAGCGTTGAACATGTTGAAATGAGAAATCCTTGAAAGTGTGATTTATCGAAGCTCTGGAGAGACTCAGTTAACACATTTGAGACGTGTTGTTCTCAAGGTGCAACCCTTGCTTTCACCATCAGCCTTGCAGCTACAGTATGGCCCAAGCTTCTTTCACCTTGTTTGCAAATTGCATGTGGTGTGGAAGGCTACCACCACAAATTTCAATCATTCACTTCATCCTGTTGCAGTTTCCAAGAGGAAATGTATGGTGTAGTACTCCACTCGATGTATGTATTAATTCTCTTTGAAACATTAAATCATGTACCCTAAATTCACTGACCATATCTAGATAGTGCCTGAGTTACTCGAGTACTTATTCTCTACCATCTTCATTTGGTTCAGCAAGGTTGAATCTGAAGGGATCCACACGGGAAAGAGAAAAGTTCTTATATCAGTGATAAAAGAATTTCATTTTTGGAAAAAGGAATACAAGATCTACTCGTTTCTGCTGGATGCCATCGACCAAATCTTGAATCGTCTCAAAGTACTTGTTTCCCATACGTACAGACACGGCAACAGAAAGAGAAGAATCGTCGATCTTTAGAAGATATACTACCTCCACCAGCACCTCTCCCATTACCTCATCCTGAGACATCATTCTGCCATTCAAATTCTGAAAGCCGTCTCCAAGTGATTATCAGACAAGGACCTGGTGTTGTCTTGAGCAGCGCAGTTCATTTTGAAATTGGTGCTAGAGGGAAACCAGTATCACCTTCATTAAGAAACGCGACTAGCACGAACTGTATTTTGAGAATTCTCCGGTCTGGTAGTGCTTTCCAAAAAATCAAACAGGTCTCTCGACACAGGGTTCAATCCGTCAGCCCCTTGAAGTCACGAGGTTCAAATCAACAAGTAGATACTGTCAGATCACCAATTTCGAAATTTCGTCCTCGTCAGACTAGTATTGTAACTTTCACTCCTGCGTCCCAAAATCGGATCTACTCGCCTTTGTCTGACCAAAGGATAGTGCGTCATTTGCTGGCTATACTGCAAGCCATTCGGCGTCAGAGCAGTAGGAAGCGAGCGAATCTTGCAATTTTGAAAGGGTTATTGAACAGCGCGAGAACTTTAGTGAGTACGACTTTAAGGTTACACACTCGACTTATAAATTCCTGTTCCAACAATAGCTTCATCAACAAAGTCCATAAGGAGAATTGGATCAAAAATCTAGTTACAGCTTAGGAACTTTTAACAATGGTCGTCAATAGCAGCAAGTCGTTTGGACATGCAGCCGCGAAAGAATATGAAGAAAACCAAGATGACGAAATCCCCGCCCAATTTGAATTAGACGAAAATTGTACCCATTACACCTCCTTGAAAGAAGTGCCCTGGGATCTACATAAGTAGGTTTGCATATCATGATGTAATTTTCATTCAACTGACATTCTAGATACTGGCAGCAGCGTTATAGCGTGTTCTCACTCTACGACAATGGTATCTATATGACAGATGATGCTTGGTTCGGCGTTACCCCTGAACCGGTAGCTACGTACGTCTCCCTTATTACACGCGCACCTGTTCGTATACATTACTGACTGTACGCAGTCAAATCGCTCAGGACTATGCCTCTTCTACATCGCCCACAAAAACAACTATAATTGATATATTCGCTGGCGCTGGCGGTAACTCTATCGCGTTCGCTCTCTCCAACCGTTGGGCCCATGTCATAGCCATTGAGAAAGATCCCTCGGTTATTGCCTGCGCTGAAAACAATGCCTACGTCTATGGTGCCACAAACATAACTTGGGTTAATGGAGACTGTTTTGAGTACCTCAAGACCCACGCCTCTTCTATTAATCCTTCAGAAACTGTCATTTTCGCATCCCCACCATGGGGCGGTCCTGGCTATACTTCTGAAAATATTTTTGATCTGAGTACTATGCAACCATATTCTGTGCAGTATATTCACGAGGCATGTAAGGCAATGGATACAGCATTGTATCTTCCACGAACCAGCGACCTCAGACAAATCTCTTCATTGTTGCCCGATGGAAAGAAGGTTGAGCTTGTGCAATATTGCATGGAGGGAGCGAGTAAGGCGCTAGTGGCGTATATCCCAGCCATTCAATGATAACGATTTGATCGGTTTGATGACGACTTCGGAGATCCGGGTGGAGCTGCAAGTCGAGGTGCCTTGAAGCCTGAGGGCTGAGGGCTGCAGCATACACGCGGTCTATCATGTGGGGATGGGTACAAAATTTTGTTGCATATCGGAAATTCCTGAGGCAAATGGTGGGAGAAGACTTGGCCACATGAGCAAAATGTCGAAATATGCAGATGGCATCAAGTGGCTTATAATATAAATCTATACATATGGAAAAGAGGATAGCTATCTCTAGTATTTGAAGGGCTTGGTTTAAACCAATTCAAACTACACATTATGTCACATAACTTATATATCCAAAATTACACAGTTTACATATTCACAGCCTCATCTAACTAAGGTCCGGTCACTTCCTGCTGTCCTTGAACTTTGTAACCCCTGCTGTAGCCTGGACTGCATCACCTCCAATATCGCTCTCTCTTCGTATTCCAATGGTAACCAGCTAGGTATAATAATGTGATGCTTATCAATCTTGATTGTTCCTTCTTCGGAAATGTGTTGAATTTCGGTTGGCTGCTCCATTCCACTAGCACTTTCTGAGCTCTTCTCGATATCTTCTTCAGACCGGCTGCTCAGCGAATGCGGCGTCCACCAGTATTTGGGGAAAGTCCTCTGTATGTTATTCACAACACAAGCGATAGCAACCAGAAGCACACTCCCTAATAGGACCAGAGGTATTAGATACCATCCTATCTCCGTGATCTCAGGTGACGTAGCAGCTAACAAAGCAGTAGCTCCAGCCGGTGGATGAATCGTGTTGGTCAAGCCCATCACAGCAGAAGCTACACCGACTGAAAGAGCACCAGCCAACCATCGTAGATTCTCAAATTCTGCACTAAGTTCGAACAGTTTTGTTATGCCGACGCCGATGATGGAAGCGAGTAGTTGACCCAGGATTGCATTTCGTGGCTGGGAGAGAGGAGAATCAATTGTATTATATTCTAAGATTGCGGCAGCGCCCTATCATCATCGTTAGATATAACAAGACTCCATGGTAGCTTCAGGTAGCATACAAAACTTGCGATGACCAATGGGGTGCCACGTTCTTTGAAGTATGGAAGACGATATATATTTTCGACAATCGCAATGCCGCAGAAAGCGCCAATGAAAGCCCAAAACCAAACAACTAGACTACCAGTTCGAGACCTCGGCTTACTTCGATACCCAAGGAACCAGGAGATTGGCGTTGGAAGTATGTAAAGTCTAGGGGAAGGAATAATACGATTCAGATAATGATCTATATCGAAATCTAAGTTGGACATTGGTCCTAACTTTGGGCCAAGAACTTTGGTGGCTAACAGAAAAGAAACTCGGAAGAAACCTCAGGGATTGGAAAATATGTTTGACATACAAAGGAATACAAACCATGTATATAGTAAGAAGGGAATTAAGCATAAATCAAACGCAAGAGTCATATAGAAAAATATCAAGCAAAGCAACAATTCACTCCCAACTATGACATAAGGGAAATCTTCCAAATATCAACATCTCCGGTGAAAACAAGTTACACAGACGGAATCAATGCACAAGACCATTCACAAGTGAACGAAACGCATTGAATAAGGTATGAGCTAAAGGAGTACTGGAGAATCGGAATCCGGGGTAGAAGCCAGGAAGAGGATTGACAGATATTAACAATATATCCACGATGTTATGTCAGTCGAAACAACGCACGAAGGAACCTATAGGAAGCCTGAGATCTCCGCGTCGCCATTGCACATGATGATTCTAGATGCCGAATGTGTGCGAGGAGCGTGTGTTGGTGCTTGCTGTTGCTAGTTGTTAGGTTTCGAAAGGAGACGCGATGACACATAGAAATACAAATTCACCAGTAGTATTGCTGATCTTTCGGGGTTTGGGGTGCCTCAGGTCGTATAGCTTCCGATGCTCCGACGATTGAACGGCCAGGAAACTAATAAGATGTCTATAATTTAGCAGGCCAGAGTAGCTATGTTTTGATGTTGGATTTAACTCGTACTTCGCTCGGTGTGTGTGTTCACCGGGAGTGCGGAGTATATGGTGGTCTAATTGATCGCTCCATGCTACTGTTCGTATTGCGGTATTTTTGGAAACGTCTAAAGATACCCTTGCAGCCGAATTCTGTGTTGCTCACTGTTTTCATTTTCAGCAATTCAATAGCACGGTACCGATCATACATAATCGTGTGAAATTGCTTCGTCGTATTGTGTGTGCAGACTTGCAAGCGCCGGCCCCACTGAATACCCACCACAGGTTAATTTAACTTGTACGAAGTACAAACGCTCGTGTAGAGATCGAACCACATACTTTGAAAGTTTAGTATCCCACACCCTACCTGCATTGGCCTGTTTATGCTGTTCCTTTTGCTACAGAAGCTTGCGGGAGTAGCGCTCTATCGGCTCTTCATACATCGATCAAGTTTGATTGACGTGGATGTACTTTGGTTGTCGAGTACCGAGCACTCCCTACGCCTTTCACGGAATTTCCTGCCTATCCCATTTCTGTAGGATTTGGATAAGAAGTCGATTCACAATGATTTGATGTGAGTAATGTCTGGGCAAGACTTGGCATAGCTTTTATTGTGGATTGGGCTGTTGTCTACAAATAAATGCCTTCTCTTTTTTGCGTAAATACGGTTTATTAGACAGATAGGCGCCATGGTATATAAACTCTAAGCCTCGTCTATACAAAAGAGTTCAGCAACAAATTACAAGTGTTTTGTCCCTTATATACGTAGCAAAGTAAAGACTCAGACATTGCTTCGATTCGCATACCTCTTCTTTCTACTCCCGGCTTCAACTTTGACTTTCCACCTGATAAATTAGCCATCAGCTGTATCGCGGCAACGAGCCCATTCCGTTAACTCCTATTCTATCACAATCACCTGCCATAATGTACACTCTCACGGTCGTTTCGTTTCTTTATCTCTTTACAACCGCCATTAAAGCTATTGTTATACCCGCAGCGGATCAGATGAGAACATTTGTTGAAAACGTCGAGAATGTCGAAAATGTCGTCGCCTATATTGGCGTCAGTGGTGTCAACCTTGGCTGGTAAAACATAAATATTCCCTCCCCCTCTCATCGCCTAACCACTAACATTCCAAAGTGTGATATCCGATGACAACTTCCCCGCCAAGTCCGAGATATCCAGCAACACTGGCATAGCAAATTGCTGGAACTGGAGTGAATCAGTTACAAATCTTGAAGTTACCTGGGAAGATTTTGATTGGATCAGTCTATACCGCGGCTCCGACTGTAATTCCAGCGACAACATCACATACTTAAAGGACGATATCGATCTAGTCGATGGGCAATCATGTCATTTGACAGATGTGGTGAGGGGCCGGGAATTCGTCAATTCACTTTCTAGTGGCTCAATACTGTTCGGAAGGGGTAGTGCACCTCTTAGTGATATGCTTGTGCTTCCAAAAGCCACTCCGTCTGTGGACTCTGTCGCTAACAGATTAGAGATGCTAAGGAATGGGGAACTGTAAACTCCATGGAAGATGTATTGTTCAGTTTTTGGTTCTATGGAGTTAAACGGTTGTGATACCCGGATGAAAGGAGTTGATTCATTGAATATTCATCGATTATGCCAATTTAAAAACATCGCTTTCATTGCACAATTTTTCAATCATGAGATGAGAAAGAACGTGCGAAATTGTAACTATTTTGCGATAGTACCTAGTTACTGCTATCTCCACAACATGTGACGAAAACAGGCGAGTATTTACTCCAATGTGTAAGTCCTTGCCCTATGGCAATGGGATACGAGCAACCTTTGTCTATACATATTATTTGGTTCGTTGCATGAAGACAGGTAGGAGACGGATAAAAATTTGAAATCGAGTTTCAGTTCATGTTCAAGGCCAGATACATGCTGCTTGATCTATAAAAATTCAGCATGATGTAGTATTCCCACTTCTACAAAGCCAACGCAGCAAGCTCCTCGTCTTGCTTCGTGAATGATCTCCAGCTGTTCATGACTACATCCATCTGAGTAGCATCTATATGCGATCGATCCTGTCTCTCCTTCTCTTTCCAACTCGCCTTGTCCATTTATGCAGTAAATTAAAGGCCATCATATTCGTTAGAGTTCTCCACTTTGTTTCCTTCCTTGATACGATGAAGAACCATTCTCCAAAATGACGAGACCTCATCGGGTTGTTACTATCCCCTCAAAGACCTGTCTGTCTGTATATTCAACGAACGACCCGCTGTTACACTTTACTCTCTATTGCCCGCCTTAACCACCATCTCTGGTTTCTGGTACTTCCGTGCTTTCAGCAATTGTTCATTCGGTTGTCTGTTCATCTATTCTGATTTTATACGGGACGATATGTAATGATTTGATCTTTTACGGAAGCAAGCAAAGTACTTCTATCTCTTTCTCAGGGGCAAGTATATGTTGATAAAGTCTTGAAGGTTTTGACTGAGACGAGATACTTCGATCTGGTCATTGTTCATGAATCTTCGGATCTATATACTTATGGCTCATTTCGGATCTTGAAGGTCTGCGTAGCGAATAGATCTGGGAAAGGAGAGAGTACTGCTAAACTTCGAAGCATATTGGTGTCTTTTGAGATGAACGCTCTCTTCGTTGGGATTGCGTTTCGAGGACGAGATAAGATCGAAGTTAAGCATGGCCCAGAGTTAAGATTTTAGAGCAATGAGGCCGATGAGATTCACAAGCTCTACGAGGAGATACCATGCCGGCTGATGTGAAGTTTCTTGAAACTCACGCGTTTTCCTTTCGAGGGAAGGATAGGATAGGAAACAAAAAGCGAGCAATTGGAGAGAATGAAATAGATTGATGGTCTGAAATGGAAGAATGAGACCTGGAATGGTTGCTGTAATTGATTAAATCAAATCAACGGCCCCTGGTTTCTCAATTAGTGAATGAAAAAGGGTTGGTCAGTAGGAGTAATAACTGATGGCTACGGTAGAAGGAAGATGCTTACCTTACTGATCTCGATGTTGAATGAGCAAATTTAAGGCTAGAAGTCAGAATACACTTTTATAGCGACATGTCTCAAATGTGCTCGTTGCAAGAGGGCGAATTTGATTTGGTTCGATGGATTTCATGGGAGCAACAATGGATACATAGACTCACGAGCAAAACAAAACAGCCAATCCGTGAATCCAACGATACTTCTCAGTCATTTTCTTTGCATTGTTCAAGAATTTGTATACAATAGTTCATTACAGGTGAATAAATGAATTTCTACATTTTCAAAGGGCATGAATTGAAGTCAAGATCTCCTAAGATTCGTCAGAGGTCAAGAGGCGTCTCATCAGTCTACACATCCACCCGTGGGCCGCCACGGCTCATGATATAAGGTTGAGCTTGTACTTTGGATTTTAATGGTTCCAAATTGGGCGAGCTAAGGACTGAAAACATACATCAAATAATCTATTGAAGATCAATTGCGAAAGTAATGAGTGCGTTGATTGCCCATCTGGCAGAAACCCTATGTTAGAGACTATGAATTTTGACCCAGATATCTGTTAGAGCCATATTCATTTTTTTGGTATGACATATCTCTCTTGAAGTCTTTTTGACAAGAAATGGATATCCTCACATAAAATTGCTAATGGAGTTCGAGTTGTTATGCGTGGAGTTCGAGTTGTTATGCGAGGAGTATAGTGAAGTACGTATCTGAGGTGAAACATATAACCAGTGAGAGAGATATAGACATATATAATAACATTATCATGCCGCTAGTGGTATGTCACATTAGATCATGTTTTTAGGGGTTTGAGTTCTTGTTTGATTAGCCGCAAATGGCCTGCTATCAAAAACCGACAGTGGGCATTATTAGCAGCACTCGGATCGAAGAGTGCCTCGCAGCCAAAACAGAAGGGCGTTTGACAAACCTGCTCTCTTCTCAAACCAATTTCTTAATGACGATGTAGTTGCTGATTGAAACGATTGCATATGTGTTAAGGTATCAATTGGAGGAAGGAACTTTCAAGGCTCGGCCGGGGAACGAGTAGCCGAATGATTGTCACCATCCGACAAAAGGGGAAGCGACACTGGATTGATGAATAGTGAAGTGAAGTCTTTGCCATCCAGTTCACTCGTAGCATCACTATAAACTTGCTCTATTTTAAACCACTCACATGCCTCATACGCAAAGTGTGAGCTCGTCTTTGATTCTAACCTCACGCCCCATAGAAAATCAATCTTATTTCATGTGAATCCTCTCAATTTCCTCATCTCTTCTCTGATTTAGATGTATCCATTACTTCTACACGTAAAGAAGTATACTACAGATTCCTCTGTTCATGCAAATTCGAAACCATGGCTGTCTCTTGGATTTGATCACAAGGTAGCATAACTATCCATTGATAACAACAGAGCTTTTCAGCCAAAAGATTCATTAAGAAGACATAGCTGTATAATATCAATGGTCACTTTCATTAGAGGAAGACAGCGATCTAAAAGGTTTCACTAAGAAAAGATATGCTACTACCTACCTGCTGTGGGCGTCCAACAGGTTGCGTGAGCCTAGAATCAAAAAGATTCGATTGATGCAAGGAATTGATTCACTCCATACTCTTTCCGGAACCATCTCGACTTTATCCAAGAGGGTTTCACATATATGTTACATGCAGTACAGTGTCTAATGCACTTACGACTTCCAGCCGTCCATGCAATTACAGCATACCCTACTAGCTGCCTGTATTGTACCACACAGAACGAACTGCTAGATGATTGACTAGTATGTACTCGCAAGCACCAACATCATTCCAACAAAACGATTCTACCAATTGGACCACTACCTCGATGTTTTCTATCCATTGTCTGCTCAAACATAAATTAGAAACAGAAACGGGCATCGATGAAACATCTTTTACCTGCAATACCACCCAAACTTCCTTACCTATCTGCATACATCGTAACCCCTCACATAATAATCAGTCAATTAGCGAACAAGCAATAAATCTCACATGTCATCAGCCAAGAAAAAGCCCGAGGAATGTAACTCTGCAATGCACCTCTCAATCATACATCGACAGTTATGTAAGGCACAGTCTTCTTCGACGTGGGTCAGATGTAGATGGCAGAGTCCGTAGTACGTACTCCCACCAGTTCCTTTCTTTTCCCTACCCCATTCAGACACATGCGAAACAACCAATTGCAGATGAGCATGGCGTGTGAATCGCGACATACATGATTATCAAAGCGCGGAAACGGCACGGGAGTTTCCCGTCTGAGCCATTTTCGCATAGCAATATACGGATCTGATGGGGAAATCGCTCCATTGAGTAATGGAATCAAGGTCGGCATATATGTGCGGTCATGATAATGGAAAAATTTGCAGTTGATCGCATTGCGCCGCTCGGTTCGTGTGCGCAAAACTTCAAACTCCCATAGTGTTATGTGGGTGCAATGCAATGAATGGCACATAGTCATAATGGTACGCCAATGAGGCAAGATTCGTTCGGTGATGGATTTTCAAGTTCACATTTCAAGACTCTTAATTCTTTTTTTCCAATTGTTTTCTTGTATTGCCTTTTGCATATTCGGACGTGTCAAAAATAGCCACAAGGAAAAAGAAAGAAATCTGAAGTTTCAGCCCCCACAGTCACCGCGCCCACAGATAAGGCAATATTCCAGAAATATCAGCTTATTATTCGCAATCCTACCCCATGGTACATCGACGAAAAAGTCCTTCTCCAGGAAAGGAAGGAGCCTTTGCGAGAAAATGGCTTCATGATGAGAAATCATCCTTATTGGGAATTCCAAATCCGTTTTCCAATCGTAATACTCCGATATTAAAACCATGGACCGAACTAGGTGAGTTCTGCAGGAACAGGCAACACTTTCTACACTCTCCCCCCACCAAACTACGCCATGAAAATTTCTTCGAGAAAGAGGCACAGGCTGATGTTGTGGCGTCGGTCTTACGACGTCTTGATAGAGATATGGCAACAGTAAGTGTTACCTCGGTCTTTTCTCACCAATCCTACTTCGTGGTTGGCTATTCATGAAATCGCAAAGAGGATTCCGAAGATTCTCGCTCGCGATACGACATTGCAACGTCTTTATGTATATTATACATGTAGTGTGTAATGTGTGTAATGTCAGCTGTGCATTCTCCATGCCATCGAAGGATCTGGCGTATGCTTGTTACTATACTCGTACTATGGCTTCCTACACGAATTCCTCGAAGGATTCGACGCTGTTTTCTCTCGTTTGATAAGTGTGGTTTTCAAGTATGAGTGCGACGTTGTGCTTGTGTAATCGATGACATGGAGGGGTCCTTTTGGTCGTGGAGGGGTTATATAATCACTTGACTTTTGATTGAAGGGGAATGAGTGGAGGGAGGAAAATCAGCTGACTGAGATGAGATGCTAATTGTTTGTGTGAAGGGAGGATAATCATTTCATCGAGACGGGATATCGGTATGCAGTCTACATTTCCTTCTCTTTGCTTACCTTGCATTGCCTTGACGTTGCATTCATCTCAACTTATTTAGCTCTCTGAGTAAGGCGTGGGGGAAGGGTGCCACGTGGGTGCTTCAAGCTAGAGGAATTTGTAAAGAACTATTTCTAATATTCGACTTTTTTTGATGATAGAGCGGCATCTAATTCTCTTCGAGAATGTTTTGCAAGTTGGGGATATCTCCACAACGAGACTAGTAAGAATAGACTGACCCCAATGTTACAACATCCTCACCGTGCATGAATGATGTATAATGTTCGAGATACTGAAGCTAAACAAAGCACGTAGTTAATATTTGGTCTCATTTAATTGGGGCAGCGTTGTTCGTGGCTCTACCGGTCTACCTGTACAAGGCTGAGATACCACCTAGATATGCCGTGGCTACCAAGGAAGATATCGTGGTTTGTGGGATATACTTCTTTGGGGTGGCGATATGCTTTTGCTTGTCGGCGTTGTTAGTTGATAATCTTTGTCCTTTGAACATGGCGAGGCTTGGTAACTGATGTCATCTGTAGGTACCATACCATAATGAACCATAGCCAACAAATGGACACATTTGGAGCTCAGCTGGATTTCCAGGGAGTTATTCTTCTGATGTGGGGAGCAACTATTCCTCTTGTATACTATGGTTTCTATTGCGATACTGCAATTCATAGATACTCTTATTGGGCTCTGGTGATTAACCTTCCTGTCTGTTGCTGTAGAGAAAGCTAACTAGAGGAAGCTATCGCTACTAGCAGTCGTTTGCTCAGTATCTACCTTTCAACCTCATTTTCGAGATCCATTTCTTCGACCTGTACGAGCCGCCACCTTTGGCAGCTTAGCTGTGGTCACAATGGTGCCTGTCGTCCATGGTGCGACTGTATACGGCTGGCAAGTACAGAATCAACGGATGGGAATCACCTGGGTTTTGATCACGCTGATGCTGAATGTACTTGGTGCAACAGCATATGCCATCAAGGTAAGAAAGTGAATAAAACTCTTTGAAGAGATTACTGTTCCCTGCACAATAAGTTCTGACCGAAACAGTTTCCCGAACGTTGGTTCAACAAAACGTTCGATCTTGTTGGAGCTTCTCATCAACTCTTCCACATGATGGTGGTACTTGCAGCTCTCGTGTACAGCAAAGCTATTTTACAAGCATTCGACTTTGCCCATGCATACGACCATACATGCAACCGATGAATGTACATACATACCGCTTTCTTCGGATACCGCCAGAACCAATCTCACCATGGCATGTTCATCTCTCTTCTTCACCGTTCATAGCGCTTTCAAGGATTGTATGCCGGGCCAGACTTCCACCCACAATCTCTTACATACTCCAAGAAGTCTCGTGATTTTGACGGCCCATGGCAATCTAACGGTACATCCGGATATGGAAATAAACATCATAGCGTACGTCGCACACGAGCCTGAAGATTATTGAAAAGGCGAAATAAAAGGTATTGGCATCTTTCCATCTTCGGGTTCAATTCGAAGGAGAAGAAAGCGAGACACGTGTACAAAAAAGGTTCACCTACTTTCATATCGACACCCAAGCTTGTGGAGAATGACAAGTATTGTATATAATATAGGGTGCATAATTACTATCCATAATACATTGCTAGCAAATCTATCGTAGACCGCATAAACTTTTCCATCCGTCAAACGGGGGATAGCTTCTTCATGCATATGCTCCAACCTTGGTGTACCAGAGTTTGATCTTCAAGACGGCATAAACTTCCGCAGCAAATCATAACAACGGATGCGATATTACTATTTCCCCACCTGCTTTCTCTGCGGCATCAACCGCGAATCGTCCGGTTCATGCGATGCTTTGACAGCTCTGGCAATAATGTAGAGAATAAAAAAACTGGATATGGAAGATTGGAAATGATGATGGATATTGGAAAAGGACAAGGTCATGGATGCCGTAATTGAAATTGTTCTGTAGCTTCATGAAACGTTCTCGAAGGCCCGTCAACAAGGTTGGCGGATATCTAATCCCTCAAGAGACAAGAGTATGTTATTCCTCGGAGAACATGCTACATTCTCGGGATGAATGTCCGTGGTTGCATACAAAAGTGGAACGAGCATTTTTTTTAATTGTGTACATCTGCGCTTTCTGAAGGTTTTGTTGTGTATGGACGGGTGGCATTAGGTGGATGCTATGCCACTGGATGGTTATCTCTCTTACGAACATCCGACGTTTTGTTCTGCTTCAGAGACAAGAGGGAGATCAATCATCTTCCTGGAAGCAGTTGCAGGGTGTGATATGGAACCCGCAATTGAGGGTAAGGGTATCTGATTTGGCAGCGGACGGGCCCCCATTTATTTTAAATACCGGAAGGTCAGTAGTGTACCAGAACTTCGACACAAACGGACATGGTTTGTGAAGTATTGGGATGAAACTTATCTCGCTATCATCGCTCAATTTCTCAAAGTATCACTAGAACGTCTGCACCCCTCACAATCGATTTTCCAAAACCTTCTTTTCAAGGGCTTACGGCATCGCCTACGGGTCCAAGTGACTAATTGGTAGGAACTGCCGACACTGGTATCTCAAGGTAGTACAGGCTCATTTCGGCCTTAGATCGACGTTTCGAACTGTTGCGGAGTGATCCTCGAGTAATTTGTTCTTGAATAGCCTCGTTATTGATATTTGTAAACCCACCTACTTGAACGAAAGTTTGTTATATGCCAGTAGATCATACTAATGAGACATGTACTGCGTATATCCCTTCACGAAGGGTCCTCTTGTATTGGACCCTTCTTTTGGTCTCACTATTAAAATAGGCTACACACTAAGAGAGTTGTTATCGATAGTTTAAGCTTTTTGCCGCCGCTCAGGCTGTAGAATAGAATACAGTAAGACATATCAGTGGCAAACACATTTGGAAGATGCTATTGTCATGGAAGAGTTGGTGTCAGCAAATTGACTTTCTCCAACATGTTTGAAACCCGTTCTTCCTTCTATCCGAGCAGCGCCGCTCGCCTGCAGTCAAAAGTTCGGGTTTAACGGTGAGCCTCGATGCATAATCTATAACCCTCGAGGGTAGAGACGAAAAATCCGGGGTTTTCGAGGCAGTTCCAGTCCTTCCTCGGCCATTCTTTCCAGCCATAATCAGAATAATAGTGCCGTATCGGTGTACTCGAGGATTGTCTGAACAATGAAAGATCTCGAGGACCAAAGTGCCCTCGGAATGCAACTCTAGCCTGTAAACAAGAGTTTGCGAAGCTTCGAATCATTCGTGATCGAGAAAGTATATCGTAAACTATAATACGCTAGACGCATACACCTGAAGGGTAACCTGATTGTCAAATCTAACTTTCAATATTGAGTCGTGCTATGAGATCAGGCTTAGGTAGATATGCGTACATTTCGCATTTCGATTCACCTCGTCACGCGTTCTTCAGACCCAGAATAGTAATATTTTCAGACCTGCATGGATCTACAAGAAGATGTCATAGGGTGCTGTACCTTCCATCGCTTTTGGGTACCTAGATCATCAAGACTAAAATCAAGCAGAGTGTTAGTGAGGAAGAAGGTTCCGCAGTTTTGTAGAAAATCGTGCTGTAGCGGTAGTTTGTAGATAGTTAGTCTATCGACCGATTTTGCCTGGTTCCTATAATTCCATTTTGATGACAAAAAGTCGCGCCAGCAAGCACAATCTCTGGTAAAGTAGAGTCGAAGTATTGTTCATTTCCAGGTCCCGTCCCGCTGGGACATCTGACAACCGTCTTTCTTTGCATGGAGCCATCGGTTGATATGTAACCTGACTCGAATAGCAAGGAAGGACACTCCACATAAATCGATGGTATTGTGATCTTTGACCTACCTTCTTCCAATAGTGAAGCTTGTCAAGGTCAGGATTGAATGGACGAGGGCATTAGGAATACCAAACCCGCGAGCCGTGAGTGGGTCATTGTAGATTCGAGATTGAAAATCATTTGAATTGAACCCAAAAAATGGCCAGCCCGATAGCCTCGCCAGCGAGCGGCCAAGCTAGGGTTTGGGGCTCTAGGAATGAATCCCCGCTGACTAGCCCGTCTGGCGTGATGTAGTAGTACGCTCCATATCATTGGCATTACCCACGGGAACAAGCGAAGGAACTTTCAGATGACACCGGTAAATAAAATTCATAAATGGGATGGACAGAAAAATCGGGACAAAACTTAGATTCCTATGAAGTAAAGACTCGGACTCGGAATTGAACTGGGGACTGGGACTGGGACTGGGGCTGGACTGGGACTGGCACTGGGACTGGGACTGGCAATTGGTCTTGGACTCAGTCTTGGACTTATGATTGTTCAAGATTGACAACAGGTTTGTGTTGTTCCTGCTTTTTTGATGCAAGAATAAGTAAGTAAAGTCAATCAGCAAGTAAGTAGGTATTCATACATGCATATGCAACATTTGTTGAGGTCGACGTCTCTGCAACCCTCTTTGCTTTCATCTTTCATCATCTTGTCAAGCATTCTCTCTGTTCCTGCTTTGTTCCTGCATCGGTTCCTGCAGTAGCCATCAGCAAATTTGGAAATGGGGTGGGTGGACCACACGTAACGAAGCCATTCATTGCCCGATTGGTGAATTATAATTTCAATGGGTAAAGTCATGGATATATACGGCGTCCATAGAGAAGGTACCATTTTGACCGACCGATAAGAAAACGGATTGGATTGCAACGGAAAGCCGTCAGAATGGATCATCCACTCAGAACCCCTACCTTCTTCTCTTGCCCTTCCTTTCCTAACTTTCCTTTCACCGCGACCATGACCGTGAACTTGCCGGGTCGAGGACTAGGACAGGGCTCCCTAGTAAAGTTCATATCGCAACTTCTTCTGGAAGTTCACCGAAGAAGGGTTGGTTTGGCTTTACGATGCAGAGAAATGATTCTATGGATTCGATTCTACGGATTCGACCTAGGTACGGTATGGATGCTATGATGGTATGGCTCTATGGTACAAAATCCATGTCAGCCAATTCATTACGGATTCGGTACAGAGTAATAATGAAATGCTACCCCATTATGCAGGCCTCGGTCAAATCAGGCGACTCCACCACATTCAAGTTATACTTTGTTGCACCAGCCTCTTTACCCTTGCCATGCCTGACGGTTGATTATACTTGACAAAAAGCAGCAAGGGAATCCAAACCAAACAAGAAAATCATTCTCTCTCCGCTCCCCCGGAAGCGTCCAATAATATGAAAAAGGTTCTCTCTATGTTTAGATCGGCTACACACAAACTTGCATTAGAATATCACTGCAGAGTGCCACTTTTATGCAACATGCAATATGCCAGTAGGAAGTAGTGATGTGATGATGATTGTCGCGCAACCACCACTAATGAAATCCTATGCACCGTCTGCACGTCGTTATTCGCTCTCTTTGGGAAATGTCATTCAGGAACCAAAGGAAGCAGCCAGCACAAGACCTAAATGTTTGGTTCGTGTAATGAACTAGGAGCATCAGAGTCCATACCACACCAGCTGGATTTCACCGTGTTGGATGTGATAGGGTAGGCATCCCACCAAGTATACCTCAGCATCCCACGTTGAAGCCTCAAACCTCGTGTTGTCGCTTTATTGTGACAATAAGAATCATCATCGACAGGCTGTGGGAATTGGGCGAAACGCTGTGCATTATTGGAAAAATATGTGCATTCCATTTTATGCAACCATCTTAGTTCTTTCTCGGCGCTAGGTGGACGGGACTTCATCCTATCGTAATGGTTATCACCTTATCGATTAGACGTAGAAGAGTGGGCGTGGAGGAGCTCCCGGTCATATGAGGTCAGATTTTACACATGAAGAATCTTCAAATGATGATGTTTGCCATGTTTGGAGGGATTTAGACTCTTAGTGGTCAAGAGGACGTGTGCGGAATCAAGGTTCAACCCGATGGAAACGATAGCCCAATACGCGGCCTAATCGTTCGGGTGATAGTACATGATAAACTTTAGATCATCTCAAACGCCGGCGTCTAAGGAATAAGGGCTCCGTCTCAACCATATATTTGACTTTTCTCAGGCGTGTTCACATGAAAGACAGTGTTTCAATTGCCAGTTCCAGACTGCGGCTACAAACTTTCTTTTGGAGGGATGTTGGTGGTACAAAATTTGCTTGCAAAGTGTATCAGTACCACTGAGTAAGCCGCAACTCTAAAAATCTCTGAATAATGACTTGTCAGCGTAATGAACTGACGAAGTCGGATCTAATCAAATGTCTCGCGGGACGCGGGGAGACTATCTGATCTTATCCTGTTCATCGAAAGTAGAGAGAAGGAGATCGTTGTTTCATCTTTTCATGATGGCGTCTTTCTTCTCCCCCACAAATCAACCTTTGCAGTAGACGCGGGGCAAAGCGCTCTTGGAGGAAGCTGAAGGAGGGCTGAATCCAAGGACCCCTTCTCTATCGATAGGGAAAAGGGTTTTTCTTCTTCTGATCTTGGGGCGAAGGAAGGAAGGAAGGATGGATGCATGTTGGATGCATGCGATGTCATCTAAGGTTACCTCCGGCGAATTAGGAGCTGTAAGCTGTGAATTGCTTACAACGTAGGTAGTTTTGTAGAAGAGAAAAAAAGGGCCATAGCAAGATGTGATAGGTTGAAACCCACGACGCCGAAATTAGCAGAGAGGATTGCTCATGTAGTCAATGAACCGGAGACGTTAGCCAAATCGAGGTACCTAGAGTTCGTACCACAACGGCAAAAGTAAAGTTGTTGGGTAGCGTTGTTGGATCATTTTGCATTATCGCCTTCACCATGCACGAATCACACTTTAGAATCATGTAGATGTCCCAAAACGGTCTTTTGATGCATATTTGAGGGTGTGCTTCACGATATGAATGGCTCAGCAATGGGTTTCGTGTTTCGCGTCTCGTTTTAAACTTTTTCATGTGTTCCTTTGCCTTCTGAAGTTTTGGATCATCCAAATAAAAACAAGTTAAAACAACATCATCACAGAATGCTTGGGTTGGTTCAATGTTGTTAAAGACAAGATCCCAAAGTTTATTAGGTCAAAAGATGTTTCCCTTTGGATTCAGATATTTGGGCTCTTGGGTGTGATTCGCATCGCCAGTCGGAGAAGCCGTATTAGATGAGGGACCTGTTTTCTTCTGATCACTCCAATTATAGGATTCTATTGGCGTTGATGATTTGCACGGGAGTGTTGTGAAGAAGATTTTTCTCCAATGCGGCGGCAGGGCTGAGGTGAGGTGGGCTGTGTATGGTTAGTTATTATAGATTGATGTCAGTGTCATCAATGATATATACAGTGGACCATGAGGCAAACTTCATCAAGATTCCAACCTGGCAGGCAGTAGGTACGAGTAGTATGAAGTAAAATCTTATCTAAACTGTCTAAACCTGTCTATTTTGCTAAGAATATACTTTTCGGCGCGAAATGTGTATGGCTGAGTTTTGGACGGATAGATTTAGAAATGTCTATTGAATTGATTTGGATCTTGACGTGGGCTGTTATTGAATAGACAATAATAAGAATGATTAGCTTTCCATGGCATCCCGAATAAATAATGTGTCGGTCGTAATCTCCGTCCACCACGATTATCATAGGTTGAGATCCACCATGGGTTATTTGGCACGAATGAATAATGAATAATGAATAATGAATGGATGAATGGATGAATGAATTGAAATCATGACATCTGTTTTATTTGTGTTGTTGTTGTACTTTTTTATCTTATTTTAGATAGCCTTGTTAGGTACAGACAGTAGTTGAGCAGCATAGAGCATAGCTGAAGTATATGTTAATGTTAGTTGGCATTAGCAAATGCAGTGGAAGTAGAAGTAGGTAGTAGGTACTAGCTGTCTAAACTTTGAATTTCGAATTTCGAACTTCAAACTTCAAACTTCAGACTTCAAACTTCAAACTTCAAACTTTGATCCTCGAACTTCTGCGTGAGTTCTACTAGCTAGCTAGATAGGTACATGTTGTTGTTGCATACCTACGTACTTGAACGTTATTGTATGACCTCAGAAACAACGCAAATAGCAGCTACCTCGTAATCTGAAGGAAACAGTGACGCAGTATTTCGCAAATAAGATACTCGTAGCTTGTAACTTGTAACCGGTAACCTGTAACTGACGGGTGACTTGTTTGTAACTCGTAACTCGCAACTCGTACTCGTCCAGGACTCCAGGTCCATTTTCTCAACGAAGCCACCAACCTAGCCGTTTCTCATAGTGTGCTGTGTCGTATATATTCACTCGTATGGATAATACATAACACATAATGCTATGATATGATTATGATTATGATACCTTACAAGTTACCACGCTCCCACTCTACTTTAGTCTATCATTCGGGCTTATGCATGCATGCACAATGCTCGACGGTCGTGCGCTTCTTGACCTTCTCGCCGCTTTTGAATGCGGGAAAAAAGTATGAGGAGTGGCTAGCGAGGGAGAAAGAAAAGGAAAATGGGATAAAATAAATAATCATCACAATCACAATCACAATCATAATTATAATAAAATCGAATAATGAAATAATAAAAAAGAGTGGCTTGATATTCATTTGAATGCTCAAGTCAATAACTAATGATTATTGGTCATTGACCTGCAACGTATTAGACCTTCCCTTCTCTTCCCTTGAGCCATTCATGACCGCCTCTTCCTCCATGTCCTTTCAATACCCAGGACAAATAAACTGTCCGTACAAGGACCCTAGTATTGCGTGGATGTGTAGACTTATTAGACTATTCTATTCCATGTTCAGTAATATATCTCCTCGACTCTCTCCACTTCCTCTCATACCTGGCATAGTACAGTACCACCCGAGCCACCAGAATGAATCCACTATGGCCACTAATCTACTAGAATCCGTGTATTAGTCCAGAAAATCAAAAAGTTCCCGGAGAATCATCACTTTCTCAAAGAGCAATAGCGTCGAACACGAAAATGCTAGGATTCCGAATCCACAATCGTACTAGATTTAGAAATTTCCATGCTACTCCATCAATCTATTCGTCCATCCCATCTCAATCGCTGCCGGTTCCCCCAGACAGGGTCCTGGACGCCGACTCACCACATCCACACCCATCTCACCCACTCATTGCTTTCTTGTTCCTGGCCCACCCGTTTCCCATGCCTTCGCCTGAGACTTGGCCTTTCGGTCGCACTGCCTATCTTACCCTCTATCACTCTCGTTGATCTTTCGAGATCTTTACTTTATTTGCAGGGTCCCCGTCACCACCTTTCGTTTGTTCATCTTGTCTAGGTTTCCCTCATCGCTACCATATTCTTCTTATACCGACTAACGGTTTCCTTTTTGTAACTCAATCTTTTTGGAACATCTTCGACTTGCGCTTTTTTATATTACAAGCCTCCTCGAACTTCTTCTGTACCTTCCTTTGGCATTCTGCTATTGCTCTTGTTCTGTTATCTCGCACTTCGATAATCTACTATATTGCACTGAACCATTGTGTCGACATCAATCAATCCTTCCGCTTGACGAGCCTATGTATAATCAGTTACTCCAACATTGCCATTATTAGACAGATCTCCCTGCAGCTGTTGTCCGCCCCTCATTCATTACTTGCGAAGCCTTGTATTACTTGATTTAGCATCGACATCTTGACCAACGTGGTCTGCCAACAAAGTACCTTAATCTACCAAACCATCCTAACTAGAATTCAAATCGGTACGTTGTGCTTGGATACAGGGTCCGAGGAATGCAAACTGACGTCTTGCAGACCAGCCGAGAAACCAAGGGATACTCACCATGGACTCTTACGCACAAGCAATGGGACAATCCCCATTTTTCTACTACAACCCAGACCCAAAATCAGACAACCGTCAACATGGTCACTTCTCTCAACAACCAAGCCATATGCATATGCCTATGTATCACCAACACGCTCAAACCCTCCCATCGACACCAATGTACTCCAGACCAAACTCGTCGTCTTCGCAGCCTCCAATGCAGCAGAAGATCTTCAACTCTGGATACCTTGGACACATGACACCAATGTCCTCCCCACGCCCAATGTATCAAAAACCCACCATATTGATTCAAGACCATTCCCCAAGACTGATCTTAGATTCGGAAAACGAGCACGACATGTATTATTACCCAGCAACTCCACCACTTTCAGCATCTTGCAGTGTCATGAGCAGTCCGTCGAGCTGTGACATTCTACCCACTCCAGTTAACAGTGTATTTTTTGGTGCTGAGAGTTTCGAGGGTGTTAAGGAAGGATGTGAAGGTGAGGTTCAATCGGAGAATCTTGCCGGTGAATGGGCTCGTTGCGGGTCTCCACCTATGACACCAGGTATGCTACTTCAATTTTTACCCTCACCGTCTTTGGAATTGTTTGAGAATGGATAACGACAATGAATTGCGATTATCCATTTGTCAATTCGCCTAAAAATTGTTAACATTAATGTTTTCAAAATTTTGATGCAATCATAATAATTATTGAGATAATTTACTGACGAGGCTACCAATTTTCAGTGTTCATCCACCCAAATTCGCTTAGCTCGCACGCTAATGAACTCCTGTCTGCCACTTCTTGCCCTTCGCTTTCACCTTCTCCTTCCCCTTATCCTCGCTCCGTCACCTCTGAACAATCCGACTTCGACTTCTGCGATCCAAGAAATCTCACAGTTGGTTCCTCAATTTTACCTCCGACTTCAAACCCAATTTTGACTTCGGGTCGCGAATTCTCCACTTTACCAACCCTCTGTGCAGCTGAAGAAGAAGAACATCAATATATGTTAGGGGGTAGTGACGCATTCGCCAAAATCGAAACACGTGCGAATACCTTTGATTTCACAACAACCACAACATCCAACCACAGTCTTCCTACTTTTGATCACATTTCCGAGCTCGATTCTGAAGACGAATTTGTTAACGGTCTTGTGAATTTCCCTTCTACCGATAACGTTCAATTCTTTGGTAACAAGAGACAACGCACTATATCTGATCTCGTTTCCCCTGAATCAGAGACATTCATCAGTGAGGACGATTTTGAAGATTTTGAGGATCTCGAGACCGAAAGATTTGCAGTTGCCTGCCTTCCAAGCCCACCTGCTTCAGGCTCTGAAGCCGAACCCAAGAAGGAAAAACGTACCAAGAAGTCAAAGATCGTTCATTGCGACGAAGATAGCTCGGAATTTGATTCTATGGTCCGATCCCGCAAATTCACTGTCCCAATGAATAACTTATCGGGCGCTCAGCCACAAGAGACTTCTGCCGACCACCAACAAACATCCACCGCACCAAGTCAATCCGGTTCTTCAGAAAGCAACAACATGATGGGTTCATCAGGATCAGACGCTGCCAACACTCATCAAGCACCAGTCAACCGTCGCGGTCGCAAGCAATCCTTGACTGAGGACCCTTCCAAGACCTTCCACTGCAAGCTTTGCAACAGACGTTTCCGCAGACAAGAACACTTGAAACGCCATTACAGATCCCTCCACACTCAAGAAAAGCCATTCGAGTGCCACGAGTGCGGTAAGAAGTTCTCCCGCAGCGACAACTTATCTCAACACTCCCGCACTCACGGAAGTGGTGCTATTGTCATGGGCGTATTGGAAGATGGCGAGGTTCCTGGCGACATGGAATCTGGCAGCGACGGAGAGCAAATCAGAGCCCTTGGCTCCGCACTCTTTACTGCAGCCGCGGGTGCATCTGGCAGTGAAAGCAGCGGTACCGATAGTGAGTCCGATAGCCAATCCCGCAAGAAGCGCAAGAGATCCGAGTAAATGTCGGTGTACGAATACTTGATTGGCTGGAGTACGCCGTTTACGAAACTTACGAACACAAAAATTAAACACAACACTTCATATTTGGGCTTGCGAATTGCTTGTTATGTGTTGGACATTAGGGATAAAGGTTACATTGACGCTGTCATGATGATTTGGGAGGATTGCTTGAAACACAAAAGTCACTGTCCCGTGTATGTGTTGCTATTTTGCACACTTTTTTCACCATTCTTGTACTTTACTTTACTTTATTCAACTTTGTATTTGTCGTCGGTTTAGCGTGATGATGGATGGTCTAAGGTACAACAACCTTTCAAAGCGTGTACTTTGATGATGGGAAGCAAGGGAAATTATTTTCTTACATTCGTTGTAATAAATATCAGTGGAGCTGTGGATGGAAAGCGGGCGACCGTCTCTGATCTTTTGCTTTGCAATTTTCTCTTCAGAATTACTTGCGTAGCTCTTGGGTCTTGCCTTGTGCTGGCCAGAATGTTGAGATATACCAACAGACTACAAATACAATAAAATAAATACATGTCATAAACATAAAACTATTCTCCCATCATGAAATTGTGACCCAAGTGACCCAAGTGACCTCAACGGTCGTGATAGACCGCTTTGCAGCAGAGTGGTATCTAGAATGCCTGAGGCATGTGCCCTTCAAACCTTCAGACCAAGTGATTTGAGTGTCCGAATTGATGTGAACATTTGATATGTTTGAATGTTTGAATCGGCTTGATTGCACTCATTAAGAGCCAAAATTCAGAACTTCGTATTTTGAAATAATGATACGAACAAAAAGTCGAGTGCGTCCCAACATAAACTCTAATACCGTCTAAATTTTCATTTACCCACATTGTTCTCGCGAGCAAAATCTAAAATCCCACACTACCGTCCTAAAACAGATAGAGTCATGTCCGAATCTCTCAACGTGATAGCCTTGGTATCAGGTGGAAAGGACAGTTTCTTCTCAATATTACATTGCATTCAGCATGGACATAAAATCGTCGCTCTAGGAAATCTTCACCCACCTCTCACGGAGCCACAAACGGAAGAAAGCGATGGTATTCACAAGGATGAAAATGACCTTAATAGTTTTATGTATCAGACTGTAGGGCATACCATTATACCATTGTATGAAGAGGCTCTTGGTATTCCATTATACCGACAGGCTATTGTTGGCAGTGCTGTTCAAACGGGGACAAGTTATGATCATGCGGATCTCACGAGTTCTGGTGCCGAAGAATGGGTAGAAAAGAAGAATAACACGGATGGGGATGAGACGGAGTCTTTGGTTCCTTTGTTACAAAGAATTAAAGATGCGCATCCCGAAGCAAATGCTCTTAGTACAGGTGCAATACTATCTACATATCAACGAACACGCGTGGAATCTGTGGCAATACGATTGGGACTCGTGCCTCTTTCGTTCTTGTGGCAGTATCCGATTCTTCCACCTGGTATGCAGATTTCTCTTCTACAAGATATGCAAGCCGTGGGATTGGATGCGAGGATTATCAAGGTGGCAAGTGGTGGACTCGATGAGAGTTTTTTGTGGGAAAATGTTGCGAGTGAGAAGGGGATGCGGAGAGTGGAGAGAGCCATGAAAAGATTCAGTATTGATGGTGATGGAGCTGTGTTAGGTGAGGGCGGAGAGTTTGAAACTCTGGTTGTGGATGGACCGAGTTGGTTATTCAAAAAGAGAATACTAGTGGAGACAGAAGACACGAGGATCGTGAGAGAAGGTGGAGGATCTGCATGGATACAGATAAGTAAGGCTTCTTTAGTGGATAAAGAAAGCATTGAGAGCAAGGAAATCTCGTGTAGGGTACCAGCACTGCTTGACCAGAGATCTTCGGAAATCCTATCTGCGTTGGACAAAAATGATCATTCCTACGACCTTTCCACGTCAAGCACACCGGGTAGCGGATCATTGGCATCGCCAACGTGGGAGCTCAAACCTTCGAGTAATAACGGCATCGAAGGCGGCAACATGATACATTGGACAATTATACCAGAAAGTGCCCCCTGTTCATCGATATTAGACGAAGCCAAAAGTGTTGTGGAATCCATAAAAGCGCGACTTAATCAAGCATCGTTGAAAACCACCGACATCGTTTCGACCATGATTATGCTACGCTCAATGGAAGATTTTACAACAATCAACAAGGTACTTCCAAATACAGCTTGATGCCTCCCCAACATACATATCTGACACATCTATAGATCTACGGCACTCTCTTCCCTCATCCCAATCCACCATCTCGCGTAACCATCTCTTGCGGGTCCTCGATGCCCCTAAACACATCTCTAATAATTCATCTCACACTGCATATTCCCTCAGCTACCTCGTCGCCCCGCAAAGCTCTACACGTACAATCGCGTTCTTACTGGGCCCCCGCCAACATCGGACCATACTCCCAAGCCAGTTCACTCCCCTCGTCGCTCTCCTCCTCCCAAACCCTCACCATCGCCGGGCAAATCCCTCTCATCCCCCACAATATGCTTCTCCCCACCTCATCACCCTCATCCTCACTCCCCTTCCACATGTCCACCATTCTCTCCCTCCAACATCTCCTCCGCATCGCAGACGCCACATCCATCAAATGGTTCACCAGCGCCTGCATCTACATTCCCACCTCTTCCCCCTCCCCCTCCTCCGCATCCATCCTCTCAAAAATCGCCTACCAAGCCTGGAAACACATCCACGCCCTCCCACCCCAAGATTCCGACCACGATTCCGACGCCGAACCGCGCGATCTCTGGGAAGAAAAGTTCCGCTACTCCAACACCGCCCCCCTATCAACCGAACACACGACAACCGCATATCCCGCCCACGATATCCTGCAAACGGATGCCCCTACGATCCCACCTTTCTGGACCGCGGAGGTGGATTCCCTGCCTCGCGGAAGCGAGGTAGAATGGCATGCGCATGTGGGCGTATGTGATGGTCCTATCGATGTTTGTTTTCTTCTTTTTCTCTTTCTTCTCTGTTTTCTTTTATTTATTCTTGCCTGCTGAAGAAATAATAATACAATAAATAACTAACGATCTTCACATCAGGTAAATAATATAGAGACGCATGAGCACCGCGACAATTCGCTCACGACTTCTTCTACGCGTCATACTGTTCTTACTTTCCCTTATGATGCTATTCCTGCGTCTGATGATCTTAAAGATGACTATAGTAATCGCGGGTTGATTCATTTGGTTTATGTGGATACATCGCTTGTCGATGTGAATAAACTTTTAAGTGCAGGGTGGGAGGGTAAAGGAGTGATACCTTGCAAGAGTCTATGGGATGGCGAGGGGAGAAGATTGAGTACTGTGATTGTATTCTGGGGAGATGCGAGGTAGAGATGATATAATGAGACTTGTGATGTTGAATTGGATTTTCGATTGGGATATCTAATGAATATCTGATATGATATGATATAATTGGTGATGCTGAACGAAATCTCGATATTAAGATACTTCCGAAAGTGTCATTGTCCATATCTCTTTGCTGGACTACCAACCCCCACCGCCTCCTTTCCCACCAAACCCACCCTCCTCAATCTTCTTCATACCCTGTCCCCTTTGACTCTTCTGCTGTGCCGCCTCATGCTTCCTCAACTCCTCCGGAACCTTACTAATGCTGCTCTTTGTCAACATCTGCTTCAAATCATACATCGTATCGCTATCCTCGTTGCCCAAGAATGTAATCGCCACACCACTCTTCCCTGCTCTTCCCGTTCTACCAATACGATGGGTATAACTCTCAATATTCGTCGCCATGTTAAAGTTCACTACCAATGATACATCCGGCACATCAATACCACGACCCGCCAAATCAGTTGCAACGAGCACATTAGTAGCGCCAGAACGCACAGATGCCAGAGCTGCTTCACGCTGCTCTTGAGTTTTGGAACCGTGTAGTGTAACAGAGGTGAAGCCCATATGTTTGATATCACGAGCCACAGCATCGCAGTTACGCTTAATGTTAACGAAGACGATGATAGGAGGTACGAATTCACCCGAGGCAAGAATTTCATTGAGACGCTTCTTGCGTTTATCCTCGCCGGAAACAAATTCAACGCGCTGTTCGACGGTCTCAACGGCCTCACCAATATTACCAATAGTGACAATTGCAGGACGACGAAGATACTTTTTGGCGATTTTTTCGACTGCTGGAGGCATAGTGGCTGTGTACATCATAGTTTGACGATAACGGTCCTTGCCTCCCAGATGCCTACTCATCGCTTGGGCATCTTCTGCATCGTCTGTATCTGGCTTTTCGTTACTGACTGGAAGGGCATCCAAGATTTTGTTCACAGATTCTTCGAATCCTAGATCAATCATACGATCTGCTTCGTCCATGATGATATAACAACATTGCCCAAGGACGAGAACTCTTCGTTCAATACAATCAACTAGACGACCGGGTGTCGCAATGATGATCTCAGCACCGTTACGAAGATTGTAAGATTGCTCTTCCAAAGAATGACCACCAACGATACTAACACAAGTGAATCCAAGGGGTGTTGCAAACTTCTTGGCTTCGACTTCAATTTGTTGTGCCAATTCACGGGTAGGCGCGAGAATAATAGCGTACGGTCCATCGTTCTTCGTAAATTCGTTCAGTGGAGGCAGTTCGGAAATGTAGACCAGTAATGGCAGCAAGAAGGCCGCGGTTTTACCCGAACCAGTAACAGCAACACCGATCAAATCTCTTGCTTGTAATGCTATAGGGATAGCGGCTCTTTGTACCGCTGAGGGCTCGTCGTAACCAACTTGATGGATAACGTCCAGAAGACGTTTTGGTAGCTTGGATTCTGACCAATTCCGCATGGGGTTTGGAATCGCTCCTCCTTTTGTACTGATATTGAAATCTTCCTTGAAAATACGCCAATCTCGTTCTCGCATGTGTTCCAATTTCTTCTCACTCCAGTGTTTGTCAAGTGAGTTCCTGCCGGCATCTTCTTTCCTCCGCCTCTCCATTTCCACAATTTCTCTTGCACGCGCGCCTCCAGCCTCCGCATCTCGTTCTTCTAAAGCCTTCGCATATTTCAGAGTTGCTCCTTCGTCTTCAGCAAACCCAGCCAGTCTACCTCGACCATATAGACCTGCTTCCGCGCGGTTTTGGTAAATAGGGTTATAATCTGGGCTAGTATCCTCCTCGGCATTCCACTCAAAGTTGAACTTCTTCTCTGTCGTCCTTCTACGTTTCTTCTTCGCGGAGAACGTTGATTGATTTGTTTCGGCACCCATATATCGCGTTCTTATCAGAGCAGCTTGAAGATCTTCCGCGTTCGCAGGTCGTTTCTCGCCAGCTACCGAAGCTTTACCCGTAGCTGCAGCAGCCGGTTTAGCTGATTTTGGCGGTGGCTCCATATCGTTCGGCTTATCACTGGAAGTTCGACTTTGTTGACTATTCCGCATGGCTCGAGGTCCAGTGGGCACAAAAGAGGAATCTCGACGCCCATTTTCCTGCTGATATGATCGTTCATAACCATCTCGGCCATTCGTAGCAGATCCATATCTGTTTCCATTTCCATTGACACCTCCTACAGATATCCGGTTATCCTGTTCCGCCTCACGTTTACGCTTCTGTTCTTCGACCTCTTTTGCTCTTTTCTCAAGAGCCAGTTTCTCTCGAGCAGCTTTTGACAGAAATTTAGGCTGTGATTTCATATAATCAGTATTGGTCCCAGGAAATACTAGACATGCATTGTGAACATGGCTGCCAGCTTCATGTGAAAGGGGATGTTGCATACCTTAGCTGCAGCCTCATCTGCCTCTTTCTTCTTCTTCAAAATATCTTCGATGCTCAGTGGACCTGGTTTTGGAGCTCCCCAGCCCTTCTTCTTTTTGGGTTCTGGGGGAGGAGGCTGTAACTCGGAGGGAGGAGGTGGTGGAAGATCACTGGAAGGAGGAGGAGGAGGAGCTAATGAGCTTGGAGGTGGTGGAGGAACGAATGAATCTGGAGGTGGAGGTGGAGGGGATGGTGGTCTTCCATCGTTATCGCTCGGGGGCGGCGGTACTGCATCAGTGCCATTTGAATATCCATTCGAAGCCATAATTGAAAGTATGAGAGGTAGAATAGATTTCTCAAAATTAGATAAAATCTATCTAAAGCTGTACAGATTTCCGAGGATTAAAACCTGCGAAAGAGTTGGCGCAATACAAAATAACTTTGAAGATTGGATATTGGAGACAAGGCTGAAGAGTCGAGGCAACCAAAAGACTTCAGCTTACATAATCACCAATCATGAATTTTATTTCGACATCAACAACATCTCGAAATCTCAGCCTTTTGCGACAATCAAGATGCTGAAGCCCGTTCAATATGTGAAGCTTGCGCAATCGCTGCCACCGCAGCTGCAGAGATTTTTCGCCCGTTATCCACCTCAAGCCATTCTCCCGCAGGCCAACGCTGTCAACACAACTTCAGATGCGGCGGCATCAGAAGCTGTTAGCAAGGCTACCTTGAAGACGGAGGAAATTTTGGATCAACCTACACACCCAGCAATTACAGAGGCGACATCGCCATTCAGGCCTCATAAGCACCCGGTTACTGGGAAATGGCATGATCCAGTGTTTTCTCTCAGACGACAAGCGGAATTGTGCAAACTTGCCAGGCAACATGGAGTAGAGGAACTTTTACCTCTTTCTGTGAAGAGTACGGAGGAGAAATTACGCAAGAGGATGGAGAATGGACTGAGGGTGAAGGGTACTGGTGTTGGACAGAGAGTCAAGGGAAAGGAATCCGAGAGAACATTGAAGTCGAGGTATGTTTAGTTGTCGCATTTGATGGACTGGTCGAAGCTTTGATCTTGCATCTTTTGATACATCTACTAATTCACGGTTTGCAACAGATTGGAGAAGAGAAGAAAGGCTATGTTGGAGATGCCACAGATGATACAGACATGGAAAGAGGTTTGTCTTCCCATATTGACCCCAATTAATGTTCGGCTACTAATGAATATCGCAGAGAGGTCATGGTCGTGGATGGAAGAAGTGGCCAAAATAGATATGATAATGAAGATTATTTGGCGCAATGTCAGCCTCGTAGCAAGACTACTTGTTGTACAAACACCACATTGGGAATGAATGCATGGGAATGGGCGTTTCAAAATATTGTAGAATTGTGCAATTACAGGCCCCCTCCTTCGCAAATTGAAAAAAATACCTTTGATGAATCTTGGGTAGAATTTCAAGAATTGTATGTCTACTTATTGGATCATGTGAAGACTTATTATGTGACTTGAAGATCTTGAGGTTTACTTTGAGATGCATCTCTTAACCGCACTTGCTAATTTAGCACGTGCAATTTGATCGAATCGACTTCCAAGAATCTACACCATACGATCTGTCGAACGAATGTCGCCAGCCTTTCAAAAATTTACCAATGCGACAAATGTTTGAATCCTCGACATGAGAGATGCCATATATAGCAGGCTGTAATATCGGCATACTCTGTAAACTCGACACAAGCTGCAAACGCCAGCTTGAAGCCACCTCCATGCGTGGTAGCGTTGGTGAAACACGTATGGAATGGTTCTTTCTTGGATCATTTGCCATCAAAGTTTGATAGCATGTAAGCTCCACATGGCCAGACCCAAAATTGATGAGTGGCAAACAAAGATTCGCGGTGAAGTGGATATCTTTCGAGATGATAGCCGAATTTCTAACTCAGGGGGTTTGTCGAACCAGCCAAATGTGTGGATTCTGTTTAAAGATATTCCAAATCGCTACTTTGAGTCTGTAACTGCGGATCAGGCACGGGAGGGAATATTACATTTGCACATGCTTCTATCATCTTCTCCGTCTACTCCCTCGTAGAGTAGTGCGAGAGCAGATACCGAGGTTTGGATAAATTGGTATGTGATGGCACAACTGGACACATCCAAGTCCGGAGGTCTAGGTAATCCATGAGGAAGGAAGGAGGACTTTTGGGATATGGTATCATTGGTCTGGCACGGCATGGCATTTGGTGTCCTCTGACAAAACAATTTGATCTCTTCGACCCTCTTGACCCTTGTAGCGATCATTCGTTTTCAAGCCCCAACAAAAAAAAACAGAATACATGGGTCCTCAAAATTGTTGGGGAAATCTTATCGGGTAAGTTGATGGATTGGGTTTAGTCTCGAACCCTCTTCTGCAAGCTTGAGAATGCTAGATATGCCATGCATGACAATAGAAGGGGAACTCTATATGATGATGATGTGATTGGTCAATTGGAACATCAAAATAGCTTTCCACTTGTAGGCAATGTTCTTTCTTTTGCCCGTTTCATCGAATTTTGCTCTTTCTTTCCAAATCGTTATGAGTAGTCATCGAGTGAAGTTGAAGCTTGCTGACCACCTCCTCACCTTGTTCTGGAATTCATTCTCGGACAGTTTTGGCGTGAAGATGGTACTTTTCGTACTTCTCATACTTTTCATGCGTGTTAGAAACCGGCTGAAATGGATACATGAGAAATGGACCTGTGAGGCAGAACACTTCTCTTGTATCGAGGTATATATATGGGGGCACATTGATTGATCTGGGCTTTTCCTACACAAGCTGAATGAATGCTGTGTCTGCACCATCAAGCCTTCTACGCTGAACTGGTTGAGCCACTGTGCCACTTTGCCATTGATTGTGTATTCTCCGGATGTACTCTAGCGGTGAGTAAGTAATAAAGACAACCAGCTCATCGTGTTCGTGTCCCCACAGAACGAATTCTCTCTGTCTCTTCTAGCAACCTACATAGTACATACCCTAGAGCACTTTGAAACGGTCTACCTGTCAAGGGTTCTCCACGACGGAACCGAGAGATGGGTGGCGTGAGCTTCAAGTCAATCGGAATGTCCGTTGTCGAAGAAGGAGGGACAAAATGAGGGGCGGGAACTGGGAAGGAGGAAGAAGGGTTGGGTATTATTGTAGAGGATGGTGGTACGAGATATCACCAGATAATTACTCCATGAGAGATCTTATTGAGTAATCTTTGATTATCGTCTGGTTAACTCGTTGTCTTTGGGATCTGCTTTGATGTGTACCTGAACAGCAAACTTGTCGAAACTCGGCATCTATCATTCTCCACTGAAATTCAAGAACAACAACAACAACAACAACAACAAAAGAACGGTTCTGCACATTGAGATAGATTGCAATAAACCCCACCATATGATAGCTAACATATCATGATAAGATCTTCAGACCCCCTTTCCCATGTCTTAACGGGTTATTGTAGTGGGTGGGTGGTGGCAATCGAATCAAGATAATTGGACTCTCAAGAGTTCATTTGAGTGGTCTTTGCTTGAATTGCTCCATACTTAAGTATATGAGTATTAATTATATCTGAATACCAGAGGATTTCTAGAAGAAGAAAGTATTATATACATCCATCTAATCTAGTCCTCGGGATACATTATATTTTGTTAGACTCCTCCTCCTCCTACATATTTTCTAGTGACTTATACTTAATCATCCCAATTTATGTGCTGGTCCCTTCTTGCCTCTTTCCCGTACCTTGTTTAATTCGGAATCTTTGCAGTTAACAAGAGTTAATGAGAAGGCGCTACGGAGAAATATTTCATTCTTTTTTTTTTCTCTTCTCTTCTCTTTTAACTTTTTAGGGCCAAGCGACTTGTGAACATCCCTTCAATTCCTTACTAGGTATCTAGGTACTCCACTCCACCACTCACTCCACTCACTACTCACTACTCACTACCACTTAATTCGTCCCTCCATTCCTTTTCTTAAACCACCCCCTCTCCCTCTTATAAGTCCAAATCCCTTCCTTCACTTCTCCCTCTCTTCAACCTCTTTACAAAACTTAATACACATCTTGAGGAGTGTGTACGAAAGTGTGTAAGTATATTCCTTTATTATGTTACCCAATGAGAAAGCTTTCGGAAACTAACAAGTACTCCTAGAATTTATCGTTGAGCCTTCTTTAATTCCATCCCACCAAAACCTCAACAAATTTGGTCGATTCACTTCACCCTGCTACAATCTTGTCACTCACTACTGGCTCGAATATCAAAGTGATAATTTCCGACGAATTCTCATTCTTTTTCTCTTCATTTTCGAGTCTACAAAAATTACAACACAATGGCTTCTACCACTGCTCTACCAAAGCGTACTGTCGTTCAAAGAACGACGACCTCCTCCACTGCCGAATCAGCTCCCTCGACAGCTGCCGGGTCACCCAGTGATACCCCAAGACAATCCCCCTCGTCTACTTCTCTGTCATCTATGTCATCTCTAGGCGACGATGCTAAGAAAACCAAGCCATATGGCAAACTCATCGATACTTACGGAAACGAATTCGAGCTTCCAGATTATACCGTCAATGACATCCGTAACGCAATTCCAAAGCATTGTTACGAGCGATCTGGAGTAAGAGGTTTGGCTTATGTGGCTCGCGATATTGCCAGCTTGGCCACCACATTCTTCCTCTTCAATAAATATCTTACACCAGAAAACGTTCCTTCAACTCCAGTCCGCGCTGCGTTGTGGGCTTTATACACCATTGTCCAGGGTTTGTTTGGTACTGGTCTCTGGGTTCTTGCTCATGAGTGTGGCCATCAATCTTTCTCAACTTCAAAGGTCTTGAACGATACAACTGGATGGATCTGCCACTCTGCTCTTCTCGTCCCATATTTCTCATGGAAGATCTCTCACGGCAAGCACCACAAAGCTACTGGTAACATGGAGCGTGATATGGTTTTCGTTCCAAAGACTCGTCAAGATTATGCTACCCGCGTCGGAAAGTTCGTCCACGAGCTTCACGAGCTCACTGAGGAAACTCCAATCGCAACCCTCATTCACTCAATCGGACAACAACTTGCTGGCTGGCCTTTGTACTTATTCATGAACGTCACCGGTCACAACAACCATGAGCGTCAACATGAAGGTCGTGGAAAAGGTAAAGTCAACAGCTTCTGGACCGTCAGTCACTTCAACCCAGCCAGTCCTCTTTATGAAGCTAAGGATGCCAAATTGATCTTGTTGAGTGATCTTGGTATCGCCATCACCGCCGCTGTCCTCATCATGCTTAGCAAGACTTACGGATTTTACAACATGGCTA